TTTTAAAGGGGTAGGATTATTCATCAGTGCAAATCCTGATTGTTGGGCGTATTACAAAAATATTAGACATTCAGGATCAAATCTTACTAACTACAAATTTAGTTACATCATTTTTCTTTGAAAATTAAGGGGTACATTGTAGTGCTTTCATTTTACACTGAATGAAAGATTATGCTTAAAGTTAGGAAGAATATTCCTCAAAACAATATATTTCAAACACACTTATAGCCATTTTATATGTGGCAAATATTCCAAGAAAACCAATCACTGTAACTAATAGTAGTAATAAGTGTAGTAATAGTGATTAATGCTCAAGTATGTAGACCAAGCGAAAAGGAAAGACACCTGGGTGGATCTTACTTCTTGACACAGCGACCCCCGAAATCGACCTAATTAGTTCACATCGCTAACAGACACCGGTGAAGAGGCTCCATTGAAAGATGCCGTTCATTCTGAAGTACAGGTTTGAATTCAGATCATGCTGTCCTCGTGGACGTAAGAGAGAGACAGCAATGAAACTCACTACTGTTCTATTTAACGATAGCAAAGCTAAGAATATATTTCAACAGCAACTAGAAAAACAGTTAGGTAGACATGTAAGTGATGCCCACTACGACGCAGCCTGGAATGATATCTGAAAGGCTGTGGAAACAGCAGTGATATCCACTAGTAAGGTAAACTAAAAGGTTAAGGAGAAACAGTAGGTATCATAAGCATCTACTGAACTGATAGGTGCTCGTAAACTCAATCTATTTGGCTCTGAATATGATGAGGAGAGAAGTCAAATTAAGCACATGTTAATAAGAAGCCTAAGCAATAATCGCGAACAGTGCTGGGTAGTGAAAGCAAAAGAAATAGGAAAGGTAGCGGTAACAGATAACAGTAGACAACTGTCCAAAATTATCAACGAAACTGGTATTAGGAATCCATCTGTTAGCGAAAGTATTTCAGAAATGGATGGTAGACATTAATTCGCAACCCAGGAGATTGAATCGATGGGCGAAACACTCGAGACCATGCGATCTCCAGTCAACATGGATGGCGAATCGATATGAATCCTCCGACTCTAAATGAAGTTTAAAAAACCATAGGGAATATGAAGCAAGGTAGAATAACAGAACCTGACAGGCGTGCCGGTGTGATCTTTAACGATTGTGGTCCAGTTTTAACAGTTATATTGATTGAGACCTTAGGTAGAATCTGGAAACTGGACATAATCTCGTCCAACTGGTCTCAGTCCCAGATTGTCCCAGTCTATAAAATAGGACAAACGTCCTCTTGTGACAATCACAGGGGGATCAGTTTGGCTAATATAATGACTAAAATATTAGCTGCAACAATACTCTGACACACAACTAGAGATCTAGAACAGCGTATCTGTTTTCAGACCTGGACGTGGCTGTATAGACCACATTTTCACACTACAACAGGTGCTAGAACACAGATACACATTTAGGCGTCCGACAATAGTTTTCTTCCCGGACCTAAAGGTGGAATTCGACTCTGGATCGTGAGGTTCTGTGACAGTGTCTGTCATTGGAAGGTGACGTGTATCGAAAACGCACATTAATCTTGTACAGACTTCCTACTTGAACATTACTGGACGAGTCATAGTTTATGGAGAACTGTCGTCGGCATTGATTTCTTCAAGTAGTGTTCGTCAGGGTTGTCTGCTTTCTCCATTCCTATTAAACGTTGTTACAGACATCCTTTAAGAGATGATACTTTCATTGTCTAAATTTTACCGGGAGATCGGCTTGTACACATATGATATAGTTTTGTTTGGTCAAGGTGCTGATGAAATGCAGTCTTCTGACCACCTTAAGCAACAATGTAAGCATGTTTGGGATGCGATTCTCCTTCTCGAAATGCAAAACATTGCTTTAGGACTGGCTTGCATCAGCACCTGAACTAGTGATAGGGATTGAAGCAGTTGAACGTGTTGACCGTTTCACTTATCTTTGAAGTCTCATCAGTTCTGATGGCCTGGTGTGTGATGATATCTTAGTATTGATACAGAAGTCTCGATTGCCTTTTTTCAACTCTCGTCACTAATCACTGATTCCATCTCGTTATCCATAGCTCCTTTTATGACTATAATATTCTCACACTTTCCCGCCTACTTCAATGATCTTTCAGATACCACATCATAAATGTTTATCGTTCTCCCGGTAACCCATACTTTTGACCATAACAATTGACAATACCGGACTGACGCCGACTACCTATTTCATAAGTTGTAACAGCCTGATAAGCTTTTGCCATGGAACTGGCAGATATAGTGTTTCTCTACAGGATATTAAATATAAAGCTTCGGAGAGGACATAATGTCTTATCTTGCAATCACGCAAAATGAACTTAACATCACAAAGGGAGAGAATAAAGTTACTGTCCAACAAATATTAGTGAACTATCGAATTTCGGCTGCTAGTATGAGTTTCATCTGCCGAGTTACCAACACTATACATGCTCCACTATTACTGATTTAGCACTGAAGTGGTGAGATATCTTGTCTCCTTTTTAAACTTTTCTCTTTGTTTCATTTCGATACCTTATTAGAAGTGAACAACCATGAAGCTTCCCTCGCTCCAAATACACCGTACGTGAGAGCTCATCAAGGTCAGGGCTTATACCAAGCACTAAATAAGCGCACTCTATTAACACATAAGAATTTACTCAACTGTCCCATCACATAAATATGCTGTAAGTGGATCTCCCTAGACACCTTTTTTGGAATCACTCTTGGACTAGGAATACTACCTTACAACGATGCTGGGGGACTTCCTTATTTGTTACTACTTGTTTGAAATTTTATTTTATCCCGTTGATCATATCTTTAAAACGACACGTACCAACTAGGTTAATAGTGAAATGTTATTAATACACTACGGAAAACGACACTACCACGAGAGAGCATCTTCTATCCGGCCCGTTTCTATAAGATTATCCTAAGAGTAGATTATCAGTGCGATGCAATGCGAAATATTATTCAGAATGCAGCCCGATGCAAATTGCTTCAGATGAATTTTAAACCAAGAAGGAGATCTTGGTTTCAGCTTGAGAGAGAACGCTTGCTGCGGGTTAAGATGTAAGCGTGACACAAGCGAAATGTTCCCCTGAATGATTTGATCTGTGGTCTTCATCAGCCTTGAGAATCAGAATCAGGAACATAGTTCTAAGTAAATAAAGAGACTGCAAGTCAAACCCAAATATCTCTTTAGGTTCATGATCACAAGAAAACCTACGAATCAGGGTGTTCGTGCTCTCATAAGTCCGAATGGCGAAGATCTTACCTACTTAGAGATGCATGGAGCCTCGGTGCCAAATTCACAAACCAGTTAAATCAGTTAATTGCCATTTCAGAGTAAAACTAGAGCCAGCTGATGGCCTGGGAAATATCTGGTTTACTTCTGATTTAGTAATTGGAAACTCCGATCTCTGCACCCAAGAAAGCTACCTTGATGTAACGATACCCTTCCCATAATCATGAAAGTGTGTGGAAGCACTCAGTGCACCGAGATGTAACCTATTCAGGCGTTCATTTGAGTCAAATCAACTCTCAAATGAATAAAAACTAGCTACTCTGCCTCCAATCTTCACCGAAAGAGACAAAATAAATCTAATATGCTACGGATCAGTCGCATTACTTTCAATACTGTCAAGGTTGGTGGGAGTTCTAGTGAATGAAAAATTAGAGACTTTCGTTCTAGGATGAACTGAGTGCATGCGATCTGGCAAGTTTCAGCACGAATAGTTTTACAGCGATTTATCTTAAGTCCACTATTCTCTTTGTTGTCTATCAATGACTTGCTAGATAAAATTAGTTCAGCAGCACTGATCTATGCAGATGATACAAAGATCTGGAGATCCATAAGAAGCATTTTACACAAATGGAGGAATGAGTAGCAAACACCAGTTAAAATCCAACTAGTTGAAATATCGTGTTGTGAACATTCTGCTTCACGTGGCATAACCAACATACGTTTTCCATAGAATTATACTTCCCAATGTCTCTTCAGAGCGCGATCGATGTCTGGTAACCACCGACACCTGGAAAACAGTTCAAAATACTCATAGAATAAAGTCATGATAACTCTTCAGTTTATTCGAAGAAAACTTGGCGCGATCACCCCTCCTTCGTTCCTGACTCTCTGTGAAACATACGCGTGGTTCTACTTTAAAGTAGGAATTGTAACCACAACCCTTTTCTTAAAAAGAGATGTGAATCTCTAAGATTGAGTTCGGAAATAGGACAGTGCGTTGTAAAGTTAGGAATTAAATCTTATCAAGAAAGACACCAAAGTTTATGACAATTCTTCCCGAGTTATAGGATAACAGCAGATTATTTGATAATGGCATAGAAAGTATTAGGCACGCCGAATCACCTCATCACGATTGTCATGCTCGCACATAACCAGGCTCAGGCTCCTTGAAGTAACCCTAAAAAACACATCATAGAGCAGACACTTAGGTACGCTCACATTTTTTTCATTGAGAGTCATCCTCTACTTTTACTGCCCTCCCGAAAGAGGTGACCAAAGCCTCTTCAGTGGATGGACTCAAGAAGAGATTTGACAACAACGTGCTCACACATGGATGATCATCTCCTGTTTGGACCAGCTGCACCTTGTGCATGTCTGGAAACGTATTTGTTATTATCATTATCACATCTTCAGATTACCAACTTATTCAGTATCGCTTATTATCATATCTGTTTTCTTTATCCTTACCCATTGATCATTTCACACTCTCTGACACATTTATTTTTCTTTTATTTATTTTACGAAAAAGACATCGTAATATACACGAAACAGCAATCACAAAGGTGAGGTTAAGAATTTCTAGCACTCTAAGGAAGGACTTGTTTGAGTGAAGTTTCGAATTCCAAACACCTGGGACTTTGCCGAAAGAACAAGAATAGAGCGCAAAATAATCAACTGGTTTATGCTAGCTAGTGAAGAAGATATTGAATATTGGAAAATATTTAAAATATCGCCGTCATTATCAGCCAATAGCATCGCAGTGTGTTAGCCACTCTTGTCCGAGCGGGCTATTATTCACCAGCAATGGAGATGAATTGGGTACCTTACTCGGGTAGCTTAGAATTTGATAAGGTTGCTGAAAAAGTAAGTTTTTGTGTTCCTATTTCACATGAATCAGGTGGTTATGGAACCGTATAACTACACATGTAATACAAATGGGAAGGAGATTCGCAATGCATTAATGTCAGCTTTTAATTACTGGCTAAATGTTCCTGAAAGTACTTTGGGTATCATATCAAACGTTATTCAAATGCTGCACAACGCTAGTTTGATGTGAGTTTTATTCTAAGTAAGACTAATTTGTGGATGAACCAATACAATTAAAGATTACAAGTCATAAGTTTGCACTAAATCCATCTGTCCATGTCGATAAATAACAGTCTGACACTATAGCTTATGGAATACAAAAGTTCTTGGATATATTATTAAAGTAATTAGATTAGCTAGCATGTACAGTACTAAACAACCGATGTATGATGAAACTGAACAAACACAACTAGAGTGAATATTATTGTTTAAAGGATACTAGCACTATATCTCTTTGTAATTTATCCGCATTTGTATTATTACTCCCACTTAGAATCGCTAGCAACAGTTTTATACTAGAAATAACCCTGGCAGTAGGATGTCCAGCAATTGTCTTGTGGTGAAATGTATCCAAGATTGCATTTAGCTATTTTAGCATTGTATTTAAATAAATTCGAACTGCTCAGTGTCATTGTGTCAAATATTAATACGTCAATGTAATAATTTCATTATGGAAAGGCTGAGTGGCCTGTGTGGAAATGGCTATCTCTCTGTTGGTTCAAATTTCTTTTGAATCCATTGATAGATTGAGCTCCAGTCACGTTTTAAGGATAACGAGTTGCATTTACTGACGATTCCATGAGAAAGTCGATAGTCAGCTCACTAATAATTTTTTATGACATTGCGGACCTTTCCAGTGTTTTCGTAAATTCTTTGTCTCGGAAGACCATAGAAATAAAGGCATGTCGGAAGCAAATTGAAAGACTACGTCACATCTAGTCTCTTTATGTAACAAGAGATATAGGTTTAGTTTAGTCAGTCTTCGTACGACAGCTTCGTGACTACGTGACTACTTTAGATGCAGTTCTTTAAATCTTTTCACAACTCACTGTCGTTTATCGGAAGATATTAGCTTCTTGTATGTAATACTCGAGTTTAGGGCAAACGAATACTGTGGACAAAATCAAAAATGTCTTCTCATTGCAATTACTAAATGCTGTACGTATTGGCCGTAAGTTTCTAGAACGTTAGGTGGCTGTCGCAGAGTAATGTTTTCAAATTTTAGCTAGTGACTACTCCTAGGTTAATGTGTCTGGATGAAGGTCAGGGCCATCCAATTTACATTACACGATTACCCAAACCAAATTAGGTCGAGATTTCATGACAAGAAGTCGATCGGCTTAACCACTGACCTACCACTTGTCATGATTTATCGGCACAAAATATATCCTATTCAAATAGCTCAGTTAGGTTGACACACCATACAAGGTCGATTACCACGTATGGGTAACGATTAAGATCGCTCCCTTTAAGTTATATTTTGCGTTTGGCTTTTCAATCGAATTATAATTATTCCTTTTTCTTGCTCTTCATCATCTTAGTTTCCTGTTATTGCTGACATGAAGTTTGGAGACTTATACCAATGCTAATTCTCGCTTCATTCTACGTTTGTAAATAACTGTTATGGCAGGGAAATCATAAAGTAGCCCATTATGTTTTTTTGCAAATACAAAACCTCAAACCCAGTATACATCTCACGTACATTATTGACTGACGTAGTCATTCTCCATATGTATACATGATAAAAAGGTGGTCACCACTCATCATTACTATTAGTAACTGTAGTATGTTCTACCAACTGGATGTTTGTCATTGCAAACTACTTTGCTTTGTGAATTGCTTTAATGATACTAGACCCAGAAGATCCTAATTGATTTGAGTGCTATTTAAACAGGGCAATTCTGTGTTTACAAAACGTTTACCTCTTCACAATCAGAGTGAAACAGCACCTCTCCCAAAACTCAATCTGCCTCTCCAGCGTGCGTCCATTAAGTTCCACATATTAAGAGCACCGTCAGCTTACATCATTTCATTTCCACAATCGCTTAAACGGTCCCCTCTAGAAAGGCTCCAGAGAGTTAGATGCGTTGACTGACCTCCAGTAACAACAATGAAAGTTGCACAAACAATGAAATGTATTACACCGATCAAACAACAGGTAAAATTTATTCAGGATACGACTAAATAGTATGCGAACCAGTTGTTGCAAATCACTTTGCCAACTGCCAGTGGGGCTCGATGTTAGATGGAAAGTTCAGTCGGTACACCGATATTTCACATAGGGAAGGTATAGACTTATCAAACTAACAAATTCTGAGCAGAGAAAGACTTGCATCGAACAATTTAAAATTTGATATTTTAAAACATATATGATACTGAATCAAAAGCAACTTTATGCAACTTACACTTAAATCAACTAGATTTGCATAATCATCACGAATTTGATAAAACAGACCGATTGCATCCAAAAGAGGTTTGTAATTTCTATATGAAATAGATGAATCATAAGATAAACCGTAGATTTTTAAAAAGGAATTGCCTTTAAGCGTAAAATAATGTTTCATTATAAAATAATATAGATAAAAAGGAGGATGCTCAAATTTCTGAGCACTGATTGCCACGAATTTCTGTTTCAGATAAAAAATAGTGAGTGGTAACCAAGTGTATCTACACGCTTTCATAAAGCGTGTTAAATCCAAAAAGAACCACCACAGTAGATGGTACATTTGCCTTCTAAATGAAGACACTCCAAATACTAGAGCAGAGCTTAAGTGGTTCAAATGTTTCTAACTAGCGTTTTTAGGTCGCTTTTTACCAGATGGCGTTGCTAACCCCATGTTCAGTTAGTGAGAAAATAGGTTTGTTTTTGATTATTTTGGAATTTATAGTCATCAACACTTATTCAGAGTAAATTAATTTTTTATTCAAATTAATCCTTAGTATTGATGATATTGAAGATGGCTCCTACTTACGGCGTGGTAAACCAGCTGCTCATTGTGTCTTTGGAGTTGCACCGTCGATCAATTCCGCAAACTATGCTTATTTCCTTGCTCTAGAAAAATTATCTTTACTGGAACGTGCTGAATCGGTGAAAATATTCGCAGGTAGTTACGATTTTTAACTAAGGAATGTTTGGTTGGACTGTTGGTATGTTGATTAGACATTGATAATGATTAAACTGACTAGCTACAAAGCATCAGTTAGCATTATTTTTCCTACAGGAGTTTGTGGGAGTTATTGAATTTCATGGTTTACATTTCAGATTTGTCTAAGATAGCTACCGAGAACCATGAGGAAATGTCCGGCTGTTCCGTCTTAGTATGAGAATCGTAAACGAAGTTCACTCATGGCCTCATCCGATATGAAATTCAGGACTTCCAGGTATACGTGACGTAAACCATTCAGCGTTTTCCACAAATCCTCATCTATATAGTGGGTCAAACAAATGATTTTATAAACAGCTTCATCATTTATCGTGTCTCGCTCATCATCTAAACTAACATTTGTGGGCCGATATGGGATATCTGAATTCGTCGAGTTAATCATTATGTCAGTTATACTTTTCTGTGATGACAAATCTGTATACTCTTATCTTAAGTATCTGATGTTCTGCTATCATAATTCAGTGCTGTCATGTTCGATTTGTTATTCGGAAATGAAAATTATTCATTTGATTTTTCAGAGCAAATGCTTGTATTACATCGTGGACAAGGTATGGATATATCTTGGCGTTCTTCCTTTAAATGTCCATCAGAATCAGAATATGAAGCTATGGTACTGTGTAGTAAGTTTTCTTTATTATAGAGTAATACACATTGCCTAAGTGTATTTCGTGTATGGTATATATTTTAGAAACTTTCAGGATTATATTAATTCAACAGGATGTTAATATCACAGCAATGAATACGATATATAATGAAATATCAGTATGATGATTAATATATCCCAATACTTTGAACACTTATTGTTACTGATTTTTAAGAAATGTATATTTTAAGTTATTAAATTTATGTGCCGTTCCTTACTTTATTCTAATCATATCATCTTTATAATTATATTTTTGCTTTGAACCAAAGTCAGTGAGTTACAACGTAGAACTTCGTATTTACGTACATTGGTTCAGGTTGTTATACCACATTAGCACAAACAGATGGGATTGTCAAGTACAATCACATAGTACTACAGGTAGTAAAAGCGCTAATGGTAATGAAAAAGATTAGGGTTCGGAGAAATTTAAGAAGTGAAAAAGGCCTTGAGGAATTCAGAAGATTAGAATTTAAGACAAAGGATAGATGTGTCTGCGCCACTGCAAACGATTTTGAGCCATCTCACTCAAAGTCCCTAACTATCGGTTAGTATTGTCTCGCAAACCCTAACCTGGTAGTCTACACCTACTAACATGGCTCAGTCCAGTTGTCAGTGACTTAATGGACTTGGGCCATGTTTTGGTTTGGTCGCCCCTAGCTTTTCTCTAACTAACTTCTACACTAGACAGCATCGTTCGTTGCGGGTATGATGGTGGATGTTACTTCCCGGTTGTGCCCACATCGTGAGAGAGCGTTTCTTGAAGAACCTCAAAGGCAAGTTGAATTTAGTGTTGGTCTTAGCGACGTGCGAGTGTAACCACATAGCCCAAAGGACAATTGCTTGAGGCCGGTCACTCATGGCTTTTTTATGGGAATTTTTCAGCGTTGGCTTTCAGTTGCTTTCAGTCTTATCGTTCTCCAGTCAACTCAAAGGAACATATGTTCTAGCCAATATAGCTCGGTTGGGCCATCGCGATAAGCAAGCCCGACCACCACATCAAGGTGACAGCTACGGTTAGGTTAAACCAAAGTGATTGTGCTTGTGTCAGAGCTTGGATCAATCTGTCCTTGTTCTTTGTTCTGTATTTTTTGGAGTGTCCAAATTATTCTCAAGGAAATGTATGAACACGTCTTATCCAACCAGCGTCAAAAAGAACTGCCACAGAAGCATCTAGAGAATTTAGAATCACATACCACAGTTTTGATTGAAGACCTACGTATACCGCTACTATATTTAGTATTTCTCCATAGACTTCCGGAATCCCGCAGTCATGAGTAACCTTATGAATATCCTCGTTTTTCTGTACATGAACTGACCTTGAAGCGAAGAGTTCTTAACGCACTTCAAAGCTTTTCTCTTGTGTTCAAGTCGACGTATATATTTAGTCCGAGGTTATTAAATGAGGTTTAGAGATCGAACCAAGGATTTATTTTGCAGACTTGTCAGTATCATCTTTGATTTTATCAGAATATGGTTATAAAAGTCCGTTATGTCAATATAGACTACATGTTTTAATGATTGGATCTGTTATATAGTTTTATATTCTTACTGATTATCCGTTGGTTAACTGTGTTATCTGTCAATCAATAATCTTCATTATAGACAGATACAACGCAGAACTTCGTACATAAGTTCAGGTTGCCATATCACGTCAGCACAGAGACGTAACTGTCAGTTCACATCCAAGAGTGATAGCGATAGTAGAATTATTAGCAGCAATGGAGAAGATTAGGGAGCAAAGATATGATTCGAAAAGAATAATTCAGTGAGATAAATTTAGAAGGATAAAGGTAGAGATTATGAGGAATTCAGAAGGTTAGAATTAAAAAGCACACAAAGAGTGGATGCACCTGCGCCATTGCAAACGATTCTGAGCCATGTCGTCCAAGGTCTCTAACCACTGCTGACTTTCGTCTCGCGGACCCCAACCAGGTAGACTACATCTACCAACATAACTCAGTCCACTTGTCAATGACTTCATGCATTTCTGTCATGTTTTGGTTCATGTTGCCATACCACATCAGCACAGAGATATAATTGTCAATTCAAATCCAGTAGTAGTAGCGGTAATAAAGGTATTAGAAGTAATCGGAGAGGTTAGGATTAGCAGATATTATTCAAGAAGTATGATTCAGTGAGATAAGTTTAGAAGGTCAAAACTAGAGGTGTTGAAGGATCCAGAAGATTAGGATTTGAGAGAACACCGGCGCTATTGCAAACGGTTTTGAGCCATGTCATTCAGGGTATTTAACGATCGATTAATATCATCTCGCGGAACCCAACCAGGTAGTCGATAACTACCGACATGACTCAGTCCACTCGTCAATGACTTCATGGATTTCTGCCATGTTTTGGTTTGGCCGCCCCTAACTTTCTTCCAACCTATTCCTACACTACGAAGCAAAGCTCGTCGAGGCAGTCGGTCGTTAGGCATATGTAGCACATGTCCCAACCACCTCAACTGATGAAGGGTCACTACTGCGTCTATTGATCTGCCATTCTTACTTAGCACCCGTTTCCTAATAACAGCGTTGCTCACTCGGGTGTGAGATTGTTGAGTTTCATTGAAATCATGATTCGGCCAATGTTAGACCATCATTAGAAACAGCAGTCAACCATATTATTTTCAATAGTTAAAATCATACATGCTAGAACGATTTTTTCTGTGACTATGCTTTTTTGGAGACTTTTAACTGTAAGTGAACACGTTGGGGTAAGGATAGTTGTAGGATCGTTGTATACTGCATTCCTTAGTTTCCAACTATGAAACCGCTTTGTTCACAACTGAGTGTGCAATTTGTGTTATATACTGTTCATGAGCTTTGTGTTTCTTATATTCCTAGACAATATATTCTCAACCTCAACTGTTTTTCTTACTTTTCCAGAAACAGGTGGTCTATTTGGCCTGGGCGTTCGTCTAATGCAATTGTTCTCTGAAAATCAAACGTACGTTAAGACAACTAGCCATTTCCATTCAAGCAAATCGTTTCACAGTTTATACTATATTGATTTACATTTGTTTTTAAGGAAAAGAGTTTTTCATAATAATTGTCCTTTAAAATTAGTAAGCATGGACTAAACAAATAAAACAGTTCAAAATTATTCTAGCATATCAGTTGGTAGTATATCGAATAACTCAAATCATAATTTTAAGTAAATCCATACTGCATCTACGATCAATAAACCAAACCTTCCTCTATAGGTTGACAATTAGAATGTTTGTCTGAGGTTAATGCAAAAATATTTTACTGAGAGACGGGCTTGTAGTGGACACGAGAATTAATAGCTTCCTGGTGGATGATGAAATGTTCGGATATAACGCTCGGTTTATGGAAATACAAAAATTTAAGCTTTCGATAAATTAGTCTCAGCCAAAAATGTTACACAAGAACAGTGAAGATAGTTGTCAAAGAGAAAAAGCCAATTGGCGTTAACGGTGAAAAAAGAGTGTTGCATATACCACTTAAGTTACAAGTTATCTGTTACCGTAAAATATTTACAAAAAGTAACAGAATCTAATAAGTAAAATAAGGGGCTAAAATGAAGTCGCAAAATAGCGTGAGTTTCATCATTGACATCACTGAATAATTTTAGTCCGACAGACATTAAAAAATCGGAAAGCTGTTTTGTCCCGTTTGGGACTTATCAAGAGTGTGCACACACGACCATACCGAAGATTGAACCCAGAACACTCAAGTTCCAAGATAAGTGTCTAACCTTTAGACCACTGGACCGGCACTTGGTGGGTCATGTGTCTATAATTAGTTGACTCGAGGTACTATGAGGTCGCCATTTGTTACCAGCGGTGATATTTGCCTTTCGCCTAATACAGTTGAACTCCACTGTTCACGATTCTTAACTAAAGCTCCCGAAATTATCTCTTGAGGTTAGTTACCAGTGAATACATGGTTACTGCTACTGTGGGGGTTTTTGGAAACCTCTGAATGGTTTACGTCACGTATACCTGGAAGTCCTGAATTTCATATCGGATGAGGCCATGAGTGAACTTCGTTTACGATTCTCATACTAAGACGGAACAGCCGGACATTTCCTCATGGTTCTCGGTAGCTATCTTAGACAAATCTGAAATGTAAACCATGAAATTCAATAACTCCCACAAACTCCTGTAGGAAAAATAATGCTAACTGATGCTTTGTAGCTAGTCAGTTTAATCATTATCAATGTCTAATCAACATACCAACAGTCCAACCAAACATTCCTTAGTTAAAAATCGTAACTACCTGCGAATATTTTCACCGATTCAGCACGTTCCAGTAAAGATAATTTTTCTAGAGCAAGGAAATAAGCATAGTTTGCGGAATTGATCGACGGTGCAACTCCAAAGACACAATGAGCAGCTGGTTTACCACGCCGTAAGTAGGAGCCATCTTCAATATCATCAATACTAAGGATTAATTTGAATAAAAAATTAATTTACTCTGAATAAGTGTTGATGACTATAAATTCCAAAATAATCAAAAACAAACCTATTTTCTCACTAACTGAACATGGGGTTAGCAACGCCATCTGGTAAAAAGCGACCTAAAAACGCTAGTTAGAAACATTTGAACCACTTAAGCTCTGCTCTAGTATTTGGAGTGTCTTCATTTAGAAGGCAAATGTACCATCTACTGTGGTGGTTCTTTTTGGATTTAACACGCTTTATGAAAGCGTGTAGATACACTTGGTTACCACTCACTATTTTTTATCTGAAACAGAAATTCGTGGCAATCAGTGCTCAGAAATTTGAGCATCCTCCTTTTTATCTATATTATTTTATAATGAAACATTATTTTACGCTTAAAGGCAATTCCTTTTTAAAAATCTACGGTTTATCTTATGATTCATCTATTTCATATAGAAATTACAAACCTCTTTTGGATGCAATCGGTCTGTTTTATCAAATTCGTGATGATTATGCAAATCTAGTTGATTTAAGTGTAAGTTGCATAAAGTTGCTTTTGATTCAGTATCATATATGTTTTAAAATATCAAATTTTAAATTGTTCGATGCAAGTCTTTCTCTGCTCAGAATTTGTTAGTTTGATAAGTCTATACCTTCCCTATGTGAAATATCGGTGTACCGACTGAACTTTCCATCTAACATCGAGCCCCACTGGCAGTTGGCATAATGAGTTGCAACAACTAGTTCCCATACTTTTTAGTATTTGTTGTCAGTAGAATTTAGTATTTATTTTAACTAAATTTTAGTAACTTATGTCGTATTTCTGTCATTGCTTTACTTCTGCGAGATTAGAGGAGATTGCATTTCGATACATCGTGTCAATGAGTTTTACTACAGACGGATTCAATTTTAGGTGGTTTATGATTTAGATTTTAGATTAAAGTATTTTTGTGATTTTGGAAAGTAGGTCTAATGTGATGGGAGGTTTTAGAGCATGTATTCTTCATGTATATTCTTGAGACTCTGACGAAATACCCATCCAGTTTATGGCGGCAGCTACTCAACTGATGTGATCAGATTTAAATGTAAACCAACGAACTGAGCCCAGAAAATCCACTGTTTTAGAGAGTATTGTGATAGAGTGAATAATTTCATTATAATATATGTAAGTATCCAGGCAAAAATTGTTGTTGAAGTCTTTTTAATTTCATGGTATCACTTATGAGACTAACCGAACCATTAAAATACAAGAGATTTTAAATAACTTTTCTCGTCGTTGTAACCCGATCGTTTAAAGACATAACTTATGGCTGTCGATTTGCAAGTTTAAATCTAGTCCTAATTTATTTAATGTAACCGTTTTACTTAGTTTTGCGATCATGTTGAAAGTGTTGTATAGCTTGGTCAGCGTCTCAGTTAAATTTTTTTGATGGTCAAACTTTTGAGTCTCATCCTGAATAAATTTTTCTCGTTATTCGATCGGCATAATACATTTCATTGTTTGTGCAACTTTCTTTTGTTTTATTACTGGAGGTCTGTCAATGTATTTAGCTGTCTGGAGCCTTTCTAGAGGGAACCGTTTAAGCGATTGTGGAAATGAAATGATGTAAGCTGACGGTGCTCGTAATATTTGAGACTTAACGGACAAACACTAGAGAAGGTGAATGAGCATTGGTAGATGTTTGAAAACAATCTGCTTGTTGAAATGCTCATCCGTTTTTTGGAAATTGCCACTGACGTGCTCCTATCGAGTTATCGAATGAGCTTCTTGCCGAAGTGGAAGTTCAAAAAATTCAGTGATTTTAAATTGGACACACTTTCTGTAATTAACCATACTTTGTCACAAGGCGATCCGTTAGTTGAAATCCTCAATGCAAAAAGAAATAAGAAAACCTGAATATTTCATTGCAATGAGAATTTGAGTTAGACATTAAAAGGATATTTTTTCCTTGGTAACTTCTGGAAAAATAAGTTTTGCACAAAGTTGGTCAGATAATCCTGGTCGACCTTCTGTGTGCTACTTAGCTTAAATCGCGTACCTAGGTCAATATTCTTTATTTATTGTTGGGTAATCTTGTCACGTTTGTTTACTCTTTAGTTTGTGATATAGTCATTAGTGTAGGTCACTGGACATCGCATGCTCTATGTTCAGCTGTTAAGTAGTTGGACGTAGTGTATAGGTATTTGTCGACCTAGGTTTTGACTAGTTAGCACTTGAAAGGAAGTTTTATCTTAGATTGGAGAAAACTATTGCTTTCTGTTTTGTTCAAACCTACGTCATCCTGATTCACAGCCAAAGACAACCGCTGATTTATTTGGGCTGTGATACCACGCACAATAACGACATATCTGCAATTGACCGATCAGTAAATAATGACTGTCCATGTTGATAAGTTCCATATAACTAGCTACGAGGTTTCTTGTCGAATACTTTAAACTACATAACACACTATTAATTTATCTACTTCAACACTTAGTTGGTCACAATTTATATTGCTCCTAATTAGTGTCTACATATGTGCTACAGTTATTATTATTATTATTATTTCTCTATTCATTCCTAGTATCATAAGAAAAAAACATTTGCAGAAGACTTAACTGAAGGAAAATTCAGTTATCCTATTGTTCGTGCTATCAACGACTATCCTGATGACAATCAAGTAATGAATATCCTTTCACAGCACACCACAAACTCATCATTAAAACTATATTGTGTTAAACATATGTTAAAGTTGGGTGCATTAGAACAAACTGTATTAAAGTTAGCTAAGTTGGAAGAAAGGTATGTACACATTTATAGCCAGCTCCCTCCTTAACCGAATGTGTTGTGTTTAATTTTTTTGGCCGTTTATGAATTATGTTAACTGTTCATTTTTTTTTCCTACTATGGTATGACATAAATACCACAGCGAAAGTTATTAATAAATAATTGTTAGTGTTTTGTCAAAAAACACTAGCGATAGTCCTTGATTTAAGTGTATGTCTAAAAGAAAAGTAAATATATACTACTATTGAAAAAGTAGTCTTTTGAATGTTAAAAGAACCAGAATGGTTAGTCGTTTTGATTATCATGGTTATTTCAATCAAGATTTTGTTAAATCATCAGCGAAAATCTACTCGAATAGTAAAATTACAGTCTACAACAAACTTCATACAGGTATTTGATTTTCGATGAAAATACTTAATTAAACTAAATGGTATTTTAATCAGTAATAAATGTTCGATTAAGCAACACAATAACTTTTTCATTCAATCATTTTTTAGAATGGATACTTGGCCGACTGGTTTCTTATTATGCTTTACAAGAAGTGAATGAAGTTTTAGGCTCAACCTCTGGTTTTCATTCATTGACATATCAGTTTTACATATCATCCAAACTGATCATTCGATCCTTGAAATGATGCACTAGTTTTATCAATGAGATTTTTACAGGGTCTACAGAATTCGTGTCTACAGTGAGAAATAACATAATATTTACATTCACTTTTTGTAGAAGAACATAAATTCACCAACTTTAGTGTTTTACAGTCTCAGTAGTTCATGATAATCATACCATAGGTATTATGTAATGTAAGGCGTTCATTATGTAACTAGGCGGAACAGAAATTTCAAAATTAGATACATTCTTTGAATGTTCGTAGCTCCTCTCATCTTGGTTGACAGTGTCCTAAGTTCTATCCGCAACTTTGAGATGCTACTTGATTGCTTTAATGAAAATCAACAACATTGTTGATTGTGCTAATAGGTCGCCAGAGTCGGATTACTGACATCGATTGCATAAAACTGAGAGAAAGTACATCCACTTTTTCATCATTTGCATCATTGATATTCCAAACTCCTGCTGCTCCTCTAACAGGTAACTTGGAATACTATTAAGTACTTTGTTTTTGCTGTAAAAGTCAATTATCGCCGTCGTCATCATATTATCGTAGTTTTTAATCTGATTCATTCACAAGGCAAGCTTCTTAACACTTAACTGACCAAGTATACAAAGTAGGCTGGATTAGAAGCTGAATGATTCTTTATAGTATGTGTATTTAAGTTGTCATAATGATCCGGACAAAATTTGTAAACGGCGACATTGAATATGTGAAGAATTCGCTCGCAATTTCTTACTCACGTTTATATATCCTGCGTACCATTGAAACAGCACAATATTCTTGAGCTTGCAGCAGCTTGTGATTTATCTGGGATCGTCCGACCCATCATAAATTCATCCGTCTGGCATGTTTGCATTTAAATTGTATACTACTGCAATTCAGAAAATGTAGTTTCTCAATAAAAAATTTCACTGAATCGATACTGATTGTAGTGTCACATAAACTGTTTATCTTACTCAGATGCATAAAACTTTAACATCTTTTATCTTAATACTTGTGGATAAAAGCTCCAAATGAAAAGTATCCAAAGGGTATGAGTCAGTATTCAGTCGAAGCTACAATACACTGAAACAGTCATTGAATGATGTAAATTTAATATCTCATGAACTTTTCAGGTACATATTTAGCGAACACTGACTATATTTCAAAGAATAACCAATTCACAGCGGTAGAAAAAAATGAAAACTCTAATTATATGCATCAACTGTACTGGATAGGAATGGATAGAAAGTGGTTGTTTTTGTAAAGTGAGGAATGTATTGGTAATGTATGTGGTGTCTAGGGATTCTCATATAAGTTGAATAGTCGTTTTACATTTAGTCTTATGGTTTGAAGGAAGCTAAATAACAGCTAACTAAAATGAAATGTTTATATCATGTGATTCCTCTGTATATGCCAAAATTGTTTATTACTTATCTTTCGCATAATTTCTCTTCAACAAATTCTTTTTTTCATAGATGCAATCAGTTAATTTCGACGTATGGCAATAACCCCTTGCTTTCTGAAGTCATGCAAAAACTAACTGATCTACATCGTACACCTGATGGACATTTACGGTTTATTACATTAAACGATCTTACCACTGACTCATTAGATCACAATGAAGTACCTATTACCAATGGTCATGTTAACCTCCTGTCTGATTGTTAATACTAGAATAGATATTCATAATAACAATAATATTAATAATAAATATGAAGTGTATAAATATTTGACAAATTAACCATACTTTGCTGATTTTTAGTTCAATGTGGAAAAAGAAACCGGTCTGTAATATTTTAAAGCAATCTGTTTGCAACATTTATACTTTACTTAAATATATTACATCAATAAAATATTCTCCACGATATTCTTTTGTGACGCTACATTGATCAACTGTGCTTCGTTTCAATTTTTTATTTACTTAATTCTTTTGAAACTATGTTCATAATATCCATATCGGTGTATTCTTTTTTTTTATTTTCGATACGTAACAGTTTTTAATCTTTCATAATTTCCTTCGATTTGTGTAAACAACGCTCTGTATGTTTTTCATGTAAAACTCGAACTAATTTATTCACAATAACTAACCATTTATTGAAATATCGTTGTTCTTTCTTTCTCTAGTCTAATATTCTCATCTTTTTGTTGTAATCCGACCAGTTCTGTGTTATATATGGTTGCATAATTCTCATCTAATCCGATAGTTTCATGTATATAATTCAGTTAAATAGCTATTGAGAATCAGATGTTTTGTCCTAGTCGGTGATACTATAATGTAAAGGAAGATTCGATCTACTGCCTGATTTTAATTTGTTACCATGAAGGGGTTCTGTGTTATAGTTTAGGTTGGTCCCTTTCTAAATCTGATCAGTTTATGATATCCCGTCATCATCATTGATGTGGCAGTCAACTAGCTTTCAATGTTGCTTAGTTTTTTTTTAATTTATTAACAGTATCATTATCGCTTTCCTTTTCTATATCCATCTAAACAAGGTTGTTGACATGCCACACACATCTTACGTATCTAATTCCAAGTCGTTTTATTTCCTGTAGTATTAGTAGTAGTTGTAGTAGCAATATCACGGTGTTCGCTTCATTTACTCGATACGGAATCATTAGAAATTCGGTTGAATTAAAAAAGTTCCTGGTTAGTTGTTTATCTTGCATTAGTCAATCCGTCCAAAACATTTACAACTTTGGATTCTTTTCGCTCAATCGTGAAATATGAAAATAGGTATTATATGTTTTAATTTGAAAAAAGCCTTATAGAATCAAGTACTTTTATTTTTGTCATTACCTGTTGTGAGAAGCTCACATGATATCTTAAAATTGTCAAAAAAATGTAGAGTTTCCTCACTTGATTGTTTTCTTATTTAAAAAAAGGTTCTGAAAAACTATTTGATTAAGGTTATTATTACAAATTTATCATGAATTCTATTAATTATCAACTCTAATTTAACAATATCCTGTAACTTCATTTTTAGTACACCATTAGAAAAATACGCTCACTAATGACCAGCTTCATGAGGACATTCTCGCAGTTCTAGTGAGAAACCGTGACCAGTGGGGGTTAACTCTGTTGGATGTAAGCAGTTATCTACGAAAGACAATTGGTGAGGTTCTGCAATACCTAGGATTGATTAAAGTTAGACATTTACATCGTTAGATGCCAGCTCAGTGGTCTAGATTTTAAGCCTTCGCAAGCGAAACCGTAACTCCTCAGTTAGATTTTCGCGAGCAGGGATCGTGGATGCGCACTGCTGACAAGTCTTATACTAGGCCGAAACGGCCGTCCAGTGCTTCTAGGTTTCTTTCTAATGGTGGTCTGACATTGATCGATTCATGATGATTCCATCATAGCCTTCATCACTTAAATAGAGTAGCTATTTATATAATTTCAATGTACATAGCGAAATTATAAAATATAATTATTTTACATTAGCTGATTCATACTTTACTTATTGTTAATCTTCTAATTCCACTTTTGTTAACTTTGTGTCACTTTTCGTGATTTAAGTTTTTTGAGCATTAATAATTAGTCCATTAAGAAGTTGGTTAAGATAGCTGAAAATGTTTTACAGTGTTAATGCAAACACATGGACTTTCTGTATTCTATTGAATTTATGTAGCAGTTATTTATACTCAATGAAATGTCTATATGTAGAGTTTGTGGATTCTCTGTTATTATCTTGTTGTAAAGTGTGCCGATTTGAAATAATCCACTATTTTGTAATATAAAAGGCTTTAATTCCTTCTTAGTTGTTTGTTGGTTTTCAGCAGTGATAATACTACAATAACATGAGGTTTGGTAAATTTTTGTCAAACGGATTTTAATTCAATTTGTTCTTCCGAAAACTAGAAATGATTTTATGCATTCATTTTTTTTTCTGTAATTAAATAATTCCCATGATGTGTGAGTAGATTATTGATACACTTTTTGTGCGGTTTATCAATATTCATGGATCATGTTGATTGCTTTGTACAATGGAGTTTTATTGATCTATTTTTAATAGTAAATAGTCACATTGATGCTATCTAGTTGCTTTACTGTTATTTAAATATTTTATTTTTAATCACACGTTCATGGATTGAAATCATACTCCGTATGTTATTATACTTTTAGTAGATGTCGTATATACATCTCGATGATTTGTAAAATGACCATTAACACTTGGTAAATCAGTTACATTGTCATTTATTTTACAGTAGGATTTTCTGTAATAATCTAGTAATTTGTATAATCACTATACAATTCATTGATCACTGATTAGTGATCAGTGTCATGTTTTTCTAATTCTCTAACAGTGATCAGACAATGTCTACCAAGTTGCTAATTTGCACACTAATTTAAGTGATTTGACATCATGTACTCTATGCTGAGTTGCTAGTTAGTTGAAGGTAGTTGGCAATAAACTCTGAACGTACGTTTCGTGAGCTAGTTCATACAATATCTTTCCTAATTACCTGTCTATAATCTTAAGATTGTACGATGCACAATAAATAGTCAATAGTAATTTGCTATTCTTTTTCATTATATACAGTTCAGAGAAAGTGATCAATGGATGCAACAAATTCAACGGAACAAGGTGACCTATCGGACACTTTCGATGACCAACATGTAAGTTTTCGTGTATAAAACTTCTTAGGCATTTTGATTGCATTAGGATTATATTGTGTAGCTTTTTGTACAATAAACTTTTAAAGTGAAATTAGGATGGACATATGTAATTGAAGCCATTTGAATGCAAATATGTATATTTGTGAAAATAGTTATACACAAATATATGTTATAAATATTTATCTCTACACCCGGATTCGAACCCAGTACATTTCACTGCAAAGAAAAGTATAACTCCTTCCTAATAATGATATAAATTGGTATTTTATTGCTAATAGTTAGATTGTATCGAATTATCGAATCAGCATTTGTCTACCTCATTTAATAAATTTTCACAATGAATACCAGTTTTTTAATTATACTACATAAATCTGAGTGACATTTATTATGAGCTTATGATTATCTAGTCGGATAAATGCAATTTTATCTCAGTTTATTATTAGCATTTAGACAATTTGCCATTTTCATTAACCAAATAATATTTTGACAGTGAACTGTGATGATCAACAGAAAAATCTTTCACATATTCGTCAAACAGTGAGTTTTTGGCTCAGTGCCACTTGGAGCATAATGTGTAACTGTATTGTGAATTAATACAACAGATCGGTACAAATCGTTGTAAAAACCTGTTTGATCTTTGTATATGTACATGTCATGTTGCTGGTTACGTTGTAAGTTGACCTTTCATTTCTGTACTCTTATACACGTATACATGTCTACTTCCCTGTGGTTACATTGCTTCTTGTCTATTTACGTATATTAACTGATTCATGCTTAAGTTAGCATCTTTTAACGAATACTAACCAAAAGCTACTCTAAGTTCAGCATTCTTACAGTCGCTGTGATAGATCGTGTTTGTGAAATATACACATTTGCAACCCTATTTTAATTCGACCTTTTACTTCTACATTGCATTAAGGAGATGAGTTGCAGAATTATTTACGAAGTATATATATATATATATATATATATATATATATATATATATATATATATATATCATCGCCAATTTTTATAGTCAAAGTCATTTTTAATTGAATCATAAAAAACAACTTTTCCTCTTATGTGTTGTTGATAACTTTTAGCATTGATCAGCTTTTGGTATCGATAATTATTTGTCATAAGTTTTTCTAGCTGATTGTTTAAGTTCATGGTCCATTTGTATTTTTTTGTTTCTTCTTACATTATTAGAATAATTTTAGACTGTTTAAAGCATATAAAGAAGGTCAATTAGATTTGAACATTTTAAGTACACAGGAGGCAATTTCTGCTTCTACCTCAACAACCGCTAACAAAGCTGCACTATTATCATCATCAACAAACAGTCAACAACAAGATGCGACTTCTTCAAATCAAGTCCTATCGGAATCTTCGCATATACCTCAGTCATCCATTTCTCCGAATAAACCATTCACTTTGGGTTCACTTTTAAAGCCTAAATTAATGAGTAATATTGCTAAACCTGTCAGTGAATCTCAATTACCATCTGTATCACGTGTTCCTGTCTCTTCTGTTAATTCAACGGAAGAAAGCAATAGGTAATTTTGACTGCGCACAAAATAAAATAAAAAATTAATCAAATGTAAAATTAAATCTAATTTCGTTTATCATTAACATTTTTGCATCGAAATATGCATACAAAATTTTCACTCATAGTAATTAGGTTTCAGCTTATATTCAATAATAATTGAAGAACTCATATTCAGTCAGTCAGTCAGTTACAACATAGAACTTCTTTCGTAAGTACATCAGTTCATGTTGCCATACCACATCAGCACAGAGATATAATTGTCAATTCAAATCCAATAGTAGTAGAGGTAATAAAGGTACTAGAAGTAATCGGAGAGGTTAGGATTAGAAGATATTATTCAAGAAGTTTGAGTCAGTGAGAAAAGTTTAGAAAGTCAAAAGTAGAAGTGTTGAAGGATCCAGAAGATTAAGATTTGAGAGAACACAAAATGCAAAAAATTGGCTTAATATTATCCATCATAAAAAATAAAGTCAATCTAATGCTCCGGTTACCTCTACACATTAGTTCAATTGAACTGATAGAAATATTAAAGTTATTAAATAAATTCAAAATTTAATCAGTTTACTTTACTTACTAAATAAATTATCTGTTAAATAAAAATAACGACTCTTTTTTTTAATGTCAAAAACTTTCTTTTCGAGACTGTCATTAACATAAGCTATTGATTTTACATAAGATATTTCCTGATAAAATAAACAGATGTTTTACTATTAAACAAGCTATTAGATAATAAACAAACGTTCCCCAATATTGTTTGGTGGTGGATATTTGATGTATTTCTAAACTTCGTATACTGTCGTCCAGACAACCGATATTATAAAACGCAGATAGTTATCACAATTCACTTTATTATTGCGAATATATTAGTGGTCGAATTTGTGACAAATATAAAGTACTTTTTCAATCATGAATCGATCAATGTTGGACCACCATTAGAAACCTGGATTCAGTGGATGGCTGTTTCGTCCTGGTATCGGACTCATCATCAGTGCGGATCCACCACTATCGCTACTCTCTGGAGCCGAACCCAAGAATTTCGCTCTTGCGCGCGAACGCCTAAGCTCTGAACCATTTAGTCGGACTCTAACGGTGTTAATGTCCAACTTCAATCAATCGATGATCTTGCGCAACCTCATCCACTATCGTGCAAATTATCATGTGCTCACTAGTGGCTAGCTCCGTGAGGATGTTTCTCCGAGTTCTAGCAAGAAGTCGTGGCCAATGGAGTTCAACCTTGTTCGAGTATGAAGCAGTGCTCACCGTGAACATTGGATGAGGTTTCGGATTCTGAAATTAACGGGAGTTATGTATCTGATGAGTCCGATGCCAGGACGGAACGGCCGCCCGCTGCTTTCCGGATTCCAATGGTGATCTAACATTGATCGATTGGTGATTTCAAAAAATATAAAATAGTCGATACTGTTATCGAATTCCCTAAATAATTAATCATTAAAGCTAGTAGGATTGAGATGTGCCTATACGAACGGGAAAATATAAGCAAACACATATATATGTGAAGTGCTAAAATTGTTTATAATAGTTTATGAAAACTATTAAGACGTTGAGTCATTTAAATGTTCTTAAATAATTTCTCGTATTGAAGCGTGGTAGTTGATAATGAAATTGTCGGGATATTTCATTATTTGATTTGAATAAAAAGCTATCAGCTGAGCATAGGTTATATAACAATTTTGGAAGTAATCAGAAGTAAATTGTCTTTAGATGAAGTTTAAAGAGGAATTATCGATTTTACAAAGAAAAAGGTGCAGAATAAAGATAATGATTGCAATAACAGTTTATAAAATTAGGAGTACGAAAACGATGGTAAAATAAAGGACTGAGCGCGACTCTTTTGTACATATTTGAACTGATTGTAATGCCTAACGGAGCAGGTTATATTTTCGGTACAAAGTGTGCGCCTGCCAAATATTTTCGAGCTCTAAATCAGTCAAAAACTCAGTTCTTTAACATGATTAACTAAGGTCACTAAATGCTACAAGAATCGTTGTCTAGAATTGTTCGCAGACTTTAAATGAAAGTTTAAGCTAGAAATTTTTACTTTATTAAAACTATAGCAATTTTAGTGGAGTGATATTTTTTACGATAATGAACTTTTAAAATGGTTGCATAGCTTCAGAGGTACCTACGCGGACTTGGATTTTACTTATCTGTGTTGTGTAATGCATTTGAGCTAAATTATAATCTAATTCTGATTCAGACACAACAATTCATACTCAATTAGTATTATTGTCTCACGTCGACATTCAGTTTTCTAGTTTTTGTCAGCTCTGTATTCTTTCATCGAAGTGGTCTTATTTGTGAAGCATCCACTGTTTTTCTGAACAGCATCAATACATACTTTGGCTTAGCTAACATAACACCTGAAATTCTTATCGTAGAATACAAAGATTCTCTAAGATCTCAAGTTTTTGGTTATTTGGTACAATGAATATTGAGGTATATATATATATATATATATATATATATATATATATATATATATATATATATATATATGCTGACGACCTTGAATGGCCTATTAGCCAATCGGGGAACACTGGTTAGTTACAAAACAATCAACGGTCAAAAGCCACGAAATATAAGTGGAATAATGTCCTTGATCTGAGAAACAAACCGTCACATATCGAATTATTCTTTGTAGTTGAAGGAAAGTCTAAGTTCACCTATGAAATGTCGAATTAGTGTGATGAGTTAGGGTTGTCATCCCATAGAGTTTTCGTAGTCAACTGAGACCAGCTATAATGCCAAAAGGTTAAGTTTTAGACAATAAAAGTCAGATGGGAGTTTGATTTTCAAAATAAACGTTAGGGTTTTCATCACGAACTGACCACAGCTACGATGTAATGCTTTGTTATTTTACTGTTTACAAAATTATGAGACTTACAGTTGAGTTGACAGTTCGAAAGCGAAGATATTATCTAATTTCGTTAAACAATCTTGACAGTGTACTGAATCACAACTAGCAGTTTAAACTATGCTTCAACTTGAAAGCATTTATGTTTTGTGATTTAACTTCAGCACTATCTTAAAGTCCTTTTTGGTTTTGTTCTAGAGATTTTTATTGATTTCAAGCATTTTTAATGACCATATATTGCCAATTCTTCTTTCCTTAATCATGGAACATAAGTTATCTATCGCTACACTTTGAATGCCGCTCAAAATACATGAGGCAGTATCTTAATTCTAATTAGTCTACACGAGGTTGTCAGTATATTTTACTCTTATCAAAACTGATTACTACGGTTACATAAATGGTATTGTGTAACGGTATGTTTATCATTTCACTGGAGATACAGTCTGCCATATTTTTTTCGAGTTACATCAATATTTCTGTAATTTGCTTTTGTTTAGTGTAAGTATGGTTAACAATAGGTAATCTATACAATTTCATGGTATTATTTTCACTTATTTACAGAATACAAAAGGAACCGGTTTTAACTTCTGGAAGTACGATCCTTGTGAATCAGCGTCAAGTAATTTTTAAAATTATAATATTATCTTTAATATATTATGAACTATGTTTCATTATTCCTCTCAGTTGATTAAATATGTTTTTTCAGCTATATGGTATTCTTAATTAAATTTTCAGTACAAATTCTTGATTATATTAGTGGAACTATACTGTATGAAAGAACCAATCAAATTTAAAAAAAGCTTCTCTTAGCGTTTTGCACGAAATCTATAATTGTGCAATAGATAGTTTGCGTCATACTGAGAAGCTAAATATAAATTCCCTATATTTAGTTAGGAGGATGCTTAAAATTGCTAATCATATCTTTTATACAACATCAAAGGGAATGTGTCATATCAGTGTAAGCTAATATTACATGAAATACCTGTTACTGATACGGATAGCATGTAAAATGCTAATTATTCGTTGAGCATAGTCGAAGCTGCCATTTGTCTTCTGTCTACCAAAAGCTCCAAAGGTAAAATAGATGGACGAGGTCCAGTATGACGTCTAGGCGTCTGGGTTAATCTTTATATCAGTGAATGTGCTCCAGATAGCAATGATTCTATTTATCTTGTACTATGGTGTACATATGAAATATGGTATTATATATATATATATATATATATATATATATATATATATATATATATATATATTCATTTTGATCACCTGTATTCTGGTTGGCTATAAAGTTGCTTACCGCAGTCCACAAAGTATACTTTCACGATTAGTTTGCTTCATTTATCGTAAATTCCTAATATTTATGCTGACCTTTTTCTAACTGTTAATTGGATGATTATTTAGAGAGGTAATCCGGTTTTAAAACAAATACGTAACGTTGCCTGGGAATATGCAGACATTGAGCCGGATTTTGTGGTAGGCAGAAATAATTGTATATATTTTCTTAGGTAAGTCATCTTGTACTACTAAGTGCAAAATGGTTTTTTTTATCAATACATGAAACAGTAGTAACTGCTTAAAAACAATATTTCAATATATATATCTATATTATAGTTTACCGAAATACTGAGATTTCAGAGAAATTGCTTGTTTACAATTATTCAATAAAAGTAGATCCACCGCGCATATTAGTCATAAAAAAATTCGAAAAACATTACGTCATCAGGTATATAATAATCATGTCTGACTTGTTGATAAATCACGAATGTTGAGTAGGAAATGATTCACAAATGATAAGACTGACAAGTGAATGATGAGTTTTCATATATACAACAGCAAATTTTTCCATCTTGTGTAATGCTGTTCAAGTAGTTTAACAATCATTGGGTGACTAAGTGATACTACTCATTATGGTACTGATATTGGTCTAAAATGGGAACTGAATGTTCGTTTTGAACGTTATTATTAACAAACATGTAAATATTATGAATGTAATCCGTTGCAAATCTCAGTTGCACACTTGCACAAACGTTTATTGTTATTATTTACACAATATAATCTTGTGTTATAATATTTCTATTACATCATCATGTCTGTTCTTTGTCCCCATGGAATTTATGTATATATACGCACTTTTGATGTCATATACATTTTGGTTTTTCTCTTCATTTTTGTTGTTGTTTTATATTCTGTTAAAACACATACATTTATTTAATGTGTCTTAGGGTGAAGCTATCTGACATATCATATCAGACTTGGTTGTAAATCTTTTTCTGCTCAAACAGATGGAAAATCAGGCAGTTATGTGATTATCAAATGTGTAATTTCTATCCAATGATTAATCGTAACTCTGTACGCTTCATACAGACGTGTGCTTACCTGTTTGTGTTTTCTTATACACATAACTTATTGGTTATTTCCGACTATAAGCTTATTCATGAATGCATACATTGATTTGACAGACGGAATAAATCCACATACCATATGTCCATGTATTCTTCTGAATCAGTCGGTTAGTAGAACGTACGTACACTAGTTCAAGTTTCTATACGCCATTATCACAGAAATAAAATTGTCAGGCCAAATCTTAGTGAGTAGATGTAGTAACAGTATCAATGGTAATAGAACAGATTAAGGATCAAAGATGTGATTCGAGAAGTAAAACCCAGTGAAATAAATTTTGGATAAAAAAGCTTATAAGGAATTCAGGAGATTACAATTTGAAAGAACACAATGAGTGGATACATCTGCGCCATTGCAAACGATTCTGAGCCAGGACGTTCAAGGTCTCTAACCATCGCTGACTTTCATCTCGCGGACCCCAACCACGTAGTCTGCATCTACCAACATGACTCAGTCGACTTGTGTCATGTTCTGGTTTGACTGTCCCTAGCTTTCTTCCAACCTACTCCCACATCACAAAACATCTCTCGTCGAGGAAGTCTGTGGTTGGGAATACGTCAAAAATGTCGCGACCACCTTCATTCATTACTTCATCTATCGACTTGCCATCCTTACCTAGTACCTGATTCCTAACCTAGGCATTGCTTGGTTAGTCATACCAGAAAACCGAACAGTGCTTCGCAGACTCCAGTGATCGAATACTAGTAGTCTTCAAATACCGTCTATTCTTAATGATTGTGTTTCACAACCGTGAAGTAAAGCGGAGCGAACCGCTGTGCAGTAAACTCGTCTTTTGGTTGGTCGGTGAATGTCACACCTACGCCAGAAGTGAGGCAAGTTGGCAAAGGCCGATCGAGCTACTGACATCCACGGCTTCTTCCAAGGCTTATGGTTTACCTGGCTAGCAGATATCACCGCTGTTTCCACAGCCTTTTTGATATAATTCCAAGCTGCCTCCGGGTGGGAATCACCTTCATGATCGCCTAACTGTTTCTCTAGTTACACCTGTAATATATTCCTAGCTATGCTATCATTAACTAGAACCCCAAGAGGTTTCCTTGCGGTATCTTTCCTACGTCGCAAACAGATACGCGCTCGCGCTAGAGCATGATTTGAATTTATACATGTGCCCCAGAACGAACGACAGTCCTCTATCGAACCCCTCCATCGGTGGCTGATGGCAATGTGATTTAGTTGGGTCCAACGTTGAGACGACTTTAGGGGTCGCCAGGTCAAAAGATGTTTTTCCTTGTGCTTAAAGGTAGTGTTTGCTAGAAATGGGCGGTTATCTGAGCATATTTGCAACAGATGGTCGCCATTATCTTTTCTATCAGCCGCGACACTATAAGGTCTACCCAGGTGTCTTTCCTGATCACTCAGTCTGCCTAGTTGAGCATTAAAGTCACCAGCCATTATAGCTATATCAGAGCGCTTAAATTTTTGGAGGAGGTCCGAAAGCTTTCTGTAAAACTAATCTTTAACCTCGTCTGAACTGCAGTCAGTGGGGACGTAGGCAGATATGACGAAAAGGCAACGGCGAGTGTCCCTATCTTTCCGAGTCCTTACTGTCCCGTCTAGTCGGACGGCGCAAAAGCGACTATCTACTGGGATCCAGTCTAGGAGAGCTAGATGTGCCCTAGGACTCAATGCAATACCTACACTTGCGAGACTCCGGGAGGCAGCATCAAGACTTCTAGATACACGAAGAGTAAATCGAGTTAATTCTTTATCCTGACATAGAGAGGTCAAGTGAATAACGCTACTCGGATCCTGTATGCGCGTTTCCGAGACGTAGCATGCATCTATGTTGCGAGCTTCTGAAGTCCTAACCAATGAAGCCTTTTGCCCTATTTGACACAATGTCCGTACATTAAATGCTCCAACACGTAGTTTAGAACGGGGTTTCAGAAGACCAGAAATAACGTTTCGTGAACTTGCATCGTTTGCATTAGCAGTACCGGGTGATAAAGGAATGAAATAAGAGTTGGTCGTGGAGATAAGAGAGATGTTAGGGGGTGTAGGAAGGATTTGATTTTGACCAATTTGGTCTCGTGTGCTGTTACGGGTATGAAGGAGGTTGTCACTTCCCAGCTGCCCACCGTGAAAGGTTGTTTCTTGAGGAACCTGAAAAGGAAGGTAGATTATCGTTTGTCTTAGAGACTTGGGAGCGTGCCCGCAGAGCCCAGGGGACAACTGCTTGAGGCCGGTCACGCACGGCCTTTTTATGGGTAGTATTTAAAGTGTTAGCTCCGTTCTTGTTTAAAAGGTCTTACCGATGGAGAGGGAAATCCGTGAGGTGAGGTGAGGAGGTGTTAAAATTTTAGGGTCGACCTTTTCTAACCCCTTCCTTATGAGAAGGCAGCATCGCCGCAGGTGCTGATTGTCCGAGGGAAACAATTTACTGTTGTCACACCTCTCTACAATCAGCAGTGCGACTTCGTCCTCAGAGCTTGAGTAGTTGCTTTTAGTCTGATCGTTCTCCAGTCGACCTGCCTGACACGGTAGAACCTGCTACAACATATGTTCCAGCCAATATAGCTCGGTTCGGTCATCATGATAGGCAAGCCCGACCACCATGTCAAGGTAGCAGCTATGGTCGGGACTTTGAAACCCAACTAGATCTGGTGAAGAGCAGATTAGAGAAAATCAAACTGCCTTCAGACTTAGACGTGGATGTGTAGACCACGTATTCACAATTCTGCGTGTAAAAATAGTTGTATTCCCGGACCTTGAGGCGTCATGCGACTCCGTCAACCGTGAGATTCTCAGACAGTGTCTGTTATTGAAAGGTGTACCAAAGAAGTACATTAAGCTTATACAAGCTCTATACTGGAACACTACAGATCGAGTGGGCGCTTATGGCGAACTGTCATCGCAATTCTTTACTTCTATTGGTGTGCGTCAGGGATGCTCACTCTCTACATTATTGTTTAACTTTGTCGTAGACATGCTTTTAGCGTTAACACCATCCTCGTCTGACTTTTCAGGAGTGGACCTTAAGCCAGGAGAGACGCCTGTCGATTTAGAATATGCCGATGACATTGTTCTATTTGGTGCAGTTGCTGACAAAATGCAGTCTTCCTACTACCTTAAGCAACAACGCAAGCATGTTTGAGATCCGGTTCTCGCCCTCCAATTTCAAAATATTTTTCTATTATTACTGATACTGTTACAACCTTTCCACTCTAGGATTTGAATGGATAATTGTATCTCTCTCTGCTAATGTGGTATGGCAACTTATACTAATGTGTGTTTGTATAAACTTCCACTTTGCTACCTACTGACTGGTTATATTCAAAAACGTTATAGCAAAACTTATTTCCAGTCTAATAAGGTTTGTCGTAAATAGAACATGAAGCTGAATCATCTTTGTTTCGCAAGATCTTCAAGTTCAAGAAATCGATTTAGTTATGTAATTCATGATCATTTGTGAATTTTAAATTCGGGTAACTTGTAAATTGAAACATCTCAATCCCTAATCAGCATAATTTATGTTTTTCATCTCCGAATGAAAAATGCCAGTTTTCGGTTCTAAATATGTCTATGTATCGAGATAATGTTTATCAAATATCATTACTTTTGAAAGATAAATTATTAGTTGTGTCATCAATTTGATGGAATAAACGTCTTTGATAACAATTTATTTCTGTTACTTATTACTATTTTGTTCAGTCTTCGCTATCATAATTTAAATTCCGAATATATATTTGAACGTTTACGTCAATCAAAACGACATTATCAATTATCTGTACTTCTTGTTCAAGTGGATGTAGTAAGTTTATAAAGTGTACTATAGTTAAATTGAATAATATTTTTCTCAGGGTATAAGTAAAAATGGGAACTGGAGCATTTAATTGTTCGCTACAATGTTTCCTTTACTTAAATTCTTCAAATCACAAACGATTATTAGCAAAGTACTGGATAATTAATCTAAAGTATTGAACATAAGTTGCATACTAATTGAATTTTAATATTAAATCATATCCATGACTTTGGACGTGGTTATGTTAATTTTGACCATAATAAATTCACAACGAAGATATTCAGCTGGGATATAGACTAGTTGATATATGAATAATATACTATGTGATACTTCCAACTTCTGTGTTGATTACATTATCTCTACTGATAGATTATGACTTAGGGCTGTTTACACTAATAACATGTGTAATATTCTTTTAATCAATAATACAGATGAACAGTTATGTTATACCCTTTCACTAACCAATGAGCAGACAATTTCTGAGTAATCAATATGCTACAAGGACCAGACACTTGCTACTCTATATCCGAAGGACGACCAAATACTAAACTGCCCAGCCGAAGAAGGAAAACAAAGACTAATGACCGCTAGTCCAAGATACATTACCATATTTCAAACATTTCTTTATATCCGTAAAAAATCAAACCACATTGCACCAATAAATGGAAGTTAACAGCTAGACTTGAATGAGCTAAACGTGGCTGTAAGTAAAGAAGATTGTTAACCATAGAATGTCAACAAAAGTGGGACAAAAAATCGTATAATAATAGTTCATGGGTCAAAAGAGAGCTTATGATAAAAGGAATATATATATATATATATATATATATATATATATATATATATATATGCACCTGATAGTTTAGTTGCTGTATAGTTATAGAATTAGATTACATACACCAATAGTCAATAAATTATTCACCTAAGTTCCTGTTGACTTCAATCGTCATCTTCCTATAACGAATTACTATATGATTTTAGGGTAATTTTATGGCTTTAAAGGTTTGTCTATTCAAACACTTTGAGCTGTTGGGTTGAAAGCTCGTACCCTTTTCTATTTACTTCACAGAAGCCAGCTGTGTTATTGCAATTCCTCACACAAAAACCTGGCTCGAAACCAAGTTCCGAAACATATACTTGACGATTTTCATTCAGTACTTGTAAGAATTATAATTGGCTTATTTAGAGAATTCTATCATTGAATGTCATTTAGTGTAAGATGATATTCCAAATAGATACGTCACACGAATTTGATCTATGAGTTATTAGATGTTGATAATTGCTATGAAAAACCCCAAAGAAGCCAAAACTACACTCTTTGTAAATTCTGAAGGTCAACATCTTTATTTCCTAATCGGATTAATCAAACATGTTAATTATTGCCACTTTGAGCACTCATTCTAGAATCGATTATTAGTCATAATCAACCTAGGACCCAGCACGTGTTTGTTGGTCCGAGTTACCATTCCACATAAAAAAAAATGCTTAGATGAAATGAAAGTTAATTGCAAACGAGTAAAATAACATATCAGTAATGAATACGAGAACAATTAAACAGTCAGAATTATGGTTCGTAAAGATGTAATCCAGAATTTCAAAATTATTGGCAACTTGGAAAATAATCCATCTTCTCCTTACTCAACGTAATCTTAGGAGTATAAGCAGTTTGTTTGTTGTGTGATGTTTCCGAAAATCGTCGGTTAATGAAAGTCTTAAAGCTAACTAGGAAGTTGATATTACATAAAAACTAAAGTAAAAACCTCTTCCCCTTTACATTTTTCATTTAAATGCGGTTTGTAATCAGCAGTAAAATCAATTATTCTGACATACCATCATTTTTTGTATTTGCTGACGCTAGATAAATAACTGATTATTTGTTAATCAAATGTTCTGGAAAAGCTTTTTTCTAAATCCAATCTTGTAATTACTCGATGTTGTTCAGAATCAGTTATCCGTAATTGAGATAATCTTAAAATAGTGTATTTTGCTTATCTGAAAGTTTTAGTCTTTATTGAGTGCATACAAGGCTACATAGAACGTATTCTCTTCATTTTAGACAGATCCATATTACCCTTTGAAAGAATTATGTAAAATTTGTTGGACTGAAAGATTAACCTTAATGTTGGCATGGAAGTAAGTTTTATGCGTTTGTTTAGGGTATTTTATTATAAATAGAACCTGTTTATAGTGAACTTTTGTAGGTAGTTGGAGGTAGTCGACAGGAAATCCTGAACTTAGGTTTTGTGCTGGGACACCAGTTAGAATGGGACACTTTTAATCTTGTACGAACTGATTCCACCCTTTGAGATTCAAACTCGCATCACTTAGCTTCACAGTGTGAGATGTTAATACTAAACTCTTCCAACCTTGATTGATCTCTAAGAATGAGACATTTATGACTGGTTGATCATTAAGTAATAAACAGATATGCTTATCTAATCCTCCAATGGATGATCGCATTCGAATGATCAACTTGCGGTGTGGCCACTAGTCCAGGTAGCTTGACATCAATCAGCGTATAGTGGAATAAGTAAACATGATATTGGTCACTACTCATTGATCAATCACTTGTAAGCAATGGACTTCATTTTCCAGTCACAATATTTTGGTTAGGTAGATATTGAAAATGTTGCTTCCTATTTTGTTGTGGATTATTATCTCGGCTAATATAACTTTCATTTATTACTCTACGTGTGAAGCAGGAACAGCAGTAAAATTGATGTAGAATTCAAGCGTAAAGACGCTTAGGAACTACCACACATCTTCCGAACACAAAACAGTTATCTACAAAACATAATGATTTTACGCATTAAGGAAGTTGTTCTAGATCTTAGCTGAGGAAAGTCTGTGGCTACCCTGTTATAGTGATCAGCAAGGATGGGCCGTAATAAGTCGGTAACGTTTTTTAACTGTGAGGTTGTAGTAAGAAGGTTCACATTCTTTATTCTACTTTTAAAGAACGTACTTATTCTGAACTTGTAGTGGGCACCAAGGGCGGTGCAGGCACAGAAATGTATAGGAAGCAGTTCTGTCCATTATCACTGAAGCTGAAGTTGGAAATTCTTCTTTCCATTCTCAGACCAATCAAAACCTTCGATCATCATTTTTCTAAGATTTTAAAATATGCCATTTTTATGTATTTACAGTATAGAAGAAGCAGCAAGATATTTAGAAGCTTATAAAGCTTTGGAAAACAAACCTCCAGATAATTTAATGGAAGAGCCAGCCACACAAACAGATCATGTTGCACAAGTTACAGATTTCTTAACTTCGATTCGACGCATCACGAAAGCTGATACTGTTTCAGCAATGAGAAAATTCGATGTAAGTGTGGATATCCTTCTAGTTTTTATTGTTTGCTTGAGTTTTAATTGTGTGTTAGTACTTAATAGACAGTTATTATCAGAAACACCATGAAACGGATGTTACGATTTAAAAGTTAATGGATAACTAGGCTGAGCAGCGTAAAGCTATCGAAGAATTCAGTTATCAGTATTTTCGTATTACATAGTCCTAAAAAGTTATGATTAAGAATAGATTGGAAAAACTTTGATTCCATTCAGATGATTTCAAACGAACAAACCTTCAGAAGACTAAAAGCAGTAGAGTAACGTACTGTGTGTTGCTGACTGTCGCATTTAAATATATATATATATATATATATATATATATATATATATATATACATATATATATATATATATATACTTCGCCGATGAGTGTCAATCAGTTTGGAATTTAGGTCTACGGCTTTTTGTTTGTCATAACAGATTTAGTTAAGACCGTAAATTTAAACTTAGTTCAGATCCTGATAAATCTAATGATCATTTAAAAAATTACGTTAAACAACATCAAAATTAGTTATTATTTCATTCTTTGATTTAAAATGAAACTACGTATTTCGCGCATTTTTATGCACAATGATATAACTCAATTGATGCGAAATAATTTACCTAAACATTTTTTCAAATTAGTAGTTCATTAGTGTTACTCTCAGATAGACAGTTCTGTTTGATGGTTTTAGGAAATACGAATGATAGAAGTGAACAATAACAGTAATAGTAATAATACTATAATTATATAATCAGACTAACATGAGACGAAATAGGTATATCCAGACCATAAAAATCTTGGAGTTCCTGATTATTGTCTACAAAATGATGTTTATTATTCACGTATCAACGGAATACAAAGGCGGCTGAGATTTTACAGGCAGTTCTGTTTGTTTTAATCTAGCAAAATAGTATTTTACCTATATACTAATTAGGTGTACACCATAAAGATTTTGGTCCGTTTGTTGTGGATTTGCTAACTGCACTGACAACCTTTTCGCCTAAAGTAATATTTACATACTTTGGCTCCTATAAATAAAGTTAGTACTCGCGGGTTAGTACGTAAGTAATGTTGCTTTTGAATAAAAGTTTAAATTACACAGATATTAGATCGTTTTCTTTCTCAATGTCAACTTTTAGACAGTGGCCGACATAATACGAGCTGATCAATCAACTTTAGAGAAGTGTCCTGGTTTCGGTCAGCTTAAAGTATGTTCACATTTTTAAATAGGTTTTTAATTCGAATATATTAATAAATTTTACGAGGGTTTCATCTTGCGTAGCCGTAGGTCTTATTTAAAAAACTTTCAGCTGAGTATAGATTACGTTCTTTAGACATTTCTATTACTGTAATATACTTAATGGACAAACTTAGCAATCATGTCTCTACTCAGGTTGAAAAGTACTATGTACAACTTCGTATAGCCTCTGATGAGTCCGGGTTATAAAATTACTTTTCGAAACCATTGTAGTCATGATCAATAACTGTGTTCATTCCATTGAATTCGTATTCAAGCTTACAATACTGTATGTACTACGTGTAGTAACCCAGCTTCATAACAATGGAGTCTATCTTTGGATTCTCAACCCCGACCGTAGCTACTACATTGACGTGGTGGTCGGGCTTGCCTATCATGATGACCCAACCGAGCTCTATTGGCTGGAACATATGTTTCTTTAGGACCTACCATGCTAGGCAGGTCGATTGCAGAACAGTAACACTAAAAGCAGCAACCCAAGGTCCGAGGTCGAAGTGGTACTGTAGAGAGGTGTGACAGCAGTAAGGTGTTTCCCTCGGACAACCAGCATCTGCAGCGATGCTGTCTTCTCACACGGAAGGAAGGGGTTGGAAAATAGTCGACCCTGAAATTTTAATACCTCACCTTGCCCCACAGATTTCTCTCTCCGGCGCTAAGGCCTATCGAAGAGTGGGACTAACGCTTTACAGACATCCCATGAAAAGGCCGTGCGCGACCAGCCTCTTTTAGCTGTCTCCTGAGCTCTGCGGTCATGCTGTAGCGGCTCACTACTGGACTTCACTGTAGACGAATGATCGAGTATGTGATGAAATAAATCTTCCTTTCCACTTCCATATATTATGCTTAGGCAAACACCGTTCATGCGACGGTGGTAGTAAGAAGCGAAATACGATGTTTCGGATGAATTTATTTTATGCATTCATTTATGCAGACAAACATGAAAATGGAAGCGTACAAGTAAAACGAAGCGAATAGGAGAAGGCGAGTGAGCCAACTCTCCATCAGCTGAAGAGTGGCATTTATAGTCAAGCTAGGCTAGACATGTAAAAAGCAATACAGCATCCACACACAATACAAAATTATGGTCGATACAATTATCGAATGACTCAAACGAAAGTACAATGAATGAATGATGAGATGCTACAATGCTCCCAGTTTGTTAAGACCAGTGTCCTTCATTCCTTTATCGTCGTAGCGCCACCGATGGAAACGATTCGAGTTCACGAAACGTTATTTCTGGTCTCCTGAAACCCTGCTCTAAACTACGTGCAGGAACTTTTAATGTTCGAATTTTCTGCCAAATAGGATAACAGACTTCATTAGCTAGGTCTCTAAAATCCCATGCAATTGATGTATACTGCTTTCCGAAATGCACAAACAGGATCCAAGTAGTGTCATTTATTTTACCTCACTTGTTCGAGATTTACACTTTGTGCATCTAAAAGCCCTACCTTTGCTTCAAGTAGCCTCGCTGGTGCAGGTATACCATTGAGTCCTAGGACAGAACTATCTATCTTAGACTGGATCCTAGAAGACAGTTACTTATGCTCTGTCATACTGAGCGGGATAATAAAAACTGGGAAACATTAGGACACTCACTGTCACCTCTTAGCTGTCTCTGCATAAGCTCCCATTGATTACAAGCCACATGATACGAAACGTAAATTTTACAGCAAGCTTTCCAAGCTCCTTCGAAAAGTTAAGCTCTACCGTAGTAATAGTGGCCGCCGATTTTAATGCTCAGGTAGGTGGACTGAGAGAAAGGCACCTAGGTGGATCTTATGGTGTCGCGGCTCCTCCGACAGGTGATGGCGACCGTCTGCTGTAGATATATTCAGATAATCGCCTATTTCTAGCAAACACCAACTTTAGGGATAAAGATAAATATCTTTTGACTTGGCGACCCCCACAGTTGACCTAACTAGATTACATCGCTATAAGCCATCGGTGGAGAGGCTTTATTGATGACTGCCGCTCGTTCTGGAGCACTTGTTTAGACTCAGACCACGCTTTAGTGCGAGCGCCTATCTGTTTGCCTTTTACTGGACGTAGGAAAAATATCGCAAGGAAACCTTTTGGGGCTCTACTTAATGATTATAAAGCTAAGAATATATTTCAGGGTCATCTAGAAATACAGTCAAGCGGCCATGTCGCAAATGATGGCCACCGTGAGGCAGCTTGGAATGATAACAAAAGAGCTGTGGAAACAGTAGTGATATCTGCTAGCAAGGTAAACCATAGGTCTAGGAAGAAGCCATGGATCTCAGTAGCATCTACGGATGCTCAAAAACTCATCTTACCTGGCTCTGAGTGCGATGAGGAGCGTAATCAGCTTAGGCACACGTTGATAGAAAGCCTACGCCATGATCGAGAACAGTGGTGGGTGGAGAAAGCAAGAGAGATGGAAAAGGCAGTGGCGATAGGCAACTATTTAGACTCATCAAAGAAACTGGTATTACGAACCCAAATGTGAGTGAGACTATTTCGGAATAGGATGGTCTTATTATCCATTCTCAATCCAGGAGACTGGATCGATGGGCAGAACACTTTAGGGATCAGTTCAACTGACCTTCAGCCACTCTTCGGTTACCGACGATTTCCAGTCATCTTGAATGGTAAGTCGACTCAAGTGCCCCTTGGCTTTACAAAGTTGAGAAAGCGTTAGGAATTCTGAAGCGAGGGCGAGCTGCAGGTCCTGATAGACTGACCCCTGAGATATTTAAGGATGGTAGTCCAGTTTTAGCAGCTGGTTTGACTGAGATCTTAAGTAGAATCTGGAAACTGGACGCAATCCCACCTGACTGGTCCTAATCACTGATTGTCCCGATTTGTGAAGACCGTCAAAAATCCTTTTATGACAGTCACAGAGGAATCAGTCTAACTAATATAGTGTCTAAAACATTGGCCTCCATAATACTCCGACGCCTAACTAGAAGTCGAGGAGAGCAGACTCGAGAAAACCAGGCTGGTTTTCGATCTGGACGTGGCTGCATAGACCACATCTTCACACTACGACAGGTCCTGGAACACAGGCATACATTTAGGCGTCCGACAAAAGTTGTCTTCCTAGACCTTAAGGCGGCATCCGTCATGGATGTCCACTCTCCATTCTTCAATTTTGTCATAGACATGCTCCTAGATATCACCTTATCCTCGTCTGAATTTTCAGTAGACCTTCTACCAGGAGGCTCGCTTATTTGCCGATGACATAATTCTATTCGGTGGAGAGGCTGACAAAATGCAGTCTTCCGACCACCTTGAGAAACAATGCAAGCATGTTCGGGATGCGGTTCTCACCCTCGAAATGCAAAATGTTGCTTCAAGACTGGGTTGCATTATCGGCACCTGAACTAGTGATAGGGAATGAAGTAGTTGAGCGTGTTGACCGCTTCAATTATCTCGGCAGTCTCATCAGTACTGATGGCCCGGTGGCTGACGAAATCTCAGCACAGATACAGAAGGCTCGGCTGACTTTTGCCTACCTGCGTCACTTATGGCACAGGCGAGATATCCGGTTGTTGACAAAAGGACGAGTGTACTGCGCAGCAGTTCGCTCCGTCCTACTTTATGGCTGTGAAACATGGCCAATCAGAGTAGAAGATATTCATAGGTTACTGGTTTTCGATCATAGGTGTCTCCGAAGCATTGCTCGTGTATCGTGAGACACCCGAGTAAGCACTGCTGTTGTTAGGAAACGGATCCTAGTTAAAGATGGCAGGTCAATAGATGAATTATTGAAACTTCATCAGTGGAGGTGGTTGGGACATGTGTTGCGTATGCCAAACCACCGACTGCCTGTTCGAGCTATGTTTTGCCATGTAGGAATAGGTCGGACGAAGGCTAAGGGCGGCCAGACCAAAACATGTCAAAAATCTATGAAATTACTGACAAGTGGATAGAGTGATGTTGGCAGATGTAGGTTACCTGGTTTTAATCCGCGAGACGAAAGTAACGGATGATTAGAGACCTTGAACGACATTGCTCAAAATCGTTCGCAACAACGCAGGTGCATTCATTCTTTGTGTTCTCTTAAATCCTAAACTTTTTGTTTCTCCGTCACTTTATCTTCATCTTTCTAAGTCTATTTCACTAGATTCTACTTCTTGAATAATATCTTCGAACCCCAATCTCTCTGACTACTGCTAATACCTTTACTACCTCTACTACTATTGGATTTGAATCGACAATTACATCTGTGCGCTAATGTGGTATGGCAACCTGAACTGATGTACGTACGTACGAAGTTCTACGTTGCTATTGATTGACTGATTGATTTTGTAAATAAGTTGCACAGCAGTAACAACGCAGTGAAATATCATAAGATTCGTCAGTGTTCACATGTGTACTACCCACAAAGAACTATGTATGACAGGTATAATAATTTCTATAAATCAGACAATAGTTCTACAATCCAAAGATAGGGGAAACACAACGTTAATTTCCGGATGGATTACCAGTATATGTAAGGAAATTTATAGTAGGAACCTGGGTGCGTAATAGGTGCCATCGTAAGAGGCGTCGGTAATGTAGTGCACAAAGTTAGTTTTCGAAGAAAATGCCTGACGCAACACACGGACCGTATTCAGCATAGACAACTAAGTTCGAATAACAGACTATCGCTGGATTATTATACAGCCAATCAAAAGAAACGAGGCTAGTACAGATGTAACGGTCACACTGCAAGGTGTCGTTTATTTTTGCGTCATCAGTCAAATCCAAGCAGTTGGACTTGTTTTTCAAGGAGATGTGGTGTGGTAAGCCAATCAGAAGTAGCCAAGTGAGGTCACGTAGTGGCAACCAGAAGTGTCATAAAGGACAGTTGCATTCCATCGGTTGAGTAATGTATTGATTTTATAAGGAGCAGAAATGTATATATATAGGACATCACTCATCGTAACAATTTCCTATTAAAGTTTTTGGTTGCTAACGTTCCTACACAAAATAACAACCGACCTTTAATTTCCTATTTGCAGGCCCGTAAGCTCGCTGAAGTCTTTAGGATGCCATTTATAAAGAAGAATTCATAATATGAATTAGAGGAAATAACGTTCTGTACATATTTTCCCTAAATAAAAGTATATATTCTAAATGGTAAATATGATTCAACAGTAAACAACACAGTTTCTTTGATGTTGTTTGAGTTGATATACAAAACATTTGGCCGACATATTTTATCGTCTTTCTAATAATTAGATTTTCTAATGTCGAATTACATCCGATCAGAAGAGAATGACATGTCAATGCTATGATGTGCACTTTTGAATATTAATGTGACGGTGAATTCAGTAATTGAATAGCTACAATTTCAGTTTAACGCTATGCTTCCCAATATCATCGTTCCCTCCAATGGTTAAGAGTGAAACCAGCCTGTGAGGAATATATCTTATGCAAAGAGTAGTGATCTTTATGCTATATATATTTTTTCAGTGGTTTATAATTACACCTGAATAATCATAACTTGAAACAACATTTAGACTGAATGAAATATATTAAGCACTGGATATCTGGTTCAATATAAATGCTTAGTTAGAGGTTAACAGCAATAAGAGCACACCAATGATAAAAGCTGAAAATCAGATTCAAAGAATAAAAAATGTCACACGATTGGAGGCAGTTTCTAATTACTCACCATCAGTACGAATGAAGAGGCCAGAGCCTTATGCTGATAGGTAGCAATCACTTGATAACAAAAGTTAAGCACCACTGTGTCGAAGTCAAAGGTATCTGATGAGGTGTAAATGTATAGTGTCTTTCTCTAAATAGAGATGATGTAACTTGTGAACGACTGGGCGCATAGTAACAATTGGTTAGTGCTGGTCTATTTTTAAAGCAAGGAAACTGTTCACGACTGCTAACGCTCGAAGCAGGTATACTTCGCTTAAACTACTGTAGCAGAACATTGAGTAAACATTCGACTAGATAGTTGTAGCTTGAGAATTAAATACAAGGACGTAAACGTTGCCCTCTATCAAAACCAATTATAAGAAGCCGTTTATTTTGATGTGTAGATTAACTGAATTACAGAAATATGTATTTACATAGGCAGACAGGAAAGCAATTAAAGGTATGGTCTTAGCTTCATTTGTACAAGATTCTATTGAGCTGAGTCAATGTTTCTGTGAATGAATAATCACTGGATTTTTAAATGATTTGAGATATTAATCATAGTTGTACCACTATGATTGCTAGCTTTACTTGACATTGTGACTAGTCTACTTCAGTTTAAAACCTCCACAACTAGAGGGAAAAAATAACGTAGTCACTTACGAATCACGTTCTGACTATACGATTCACAAATAATAAGCACTGATATGTTTTTGGACTGTCTCAGTTCAACTACTTTGAACACAATTATGCAGTTTACATTAGCATATTCTTTAAGTCCAACAACTTCGTGGTAGTAAGTAGTAATCTCATAATTCTGAAACTTGACTCAACAATTTGTGCACACGAGCTAACTACTAAACACCACAAGTAAGGTAAAGGACGTCAAAACTTTTTTGATAAAAAGCAAATTATTACCAGCGAATGTTGAATAAGTTTATTTCGGAAATTATACGCGTAGAAATAGTATTCATTCTATTAAACTTGTTACATTTTACTAATGTTTGTAAATACTACAAATTTAAACTTTTATTAGACTCCTAGTTCATCGTCAGTAAATGTTTTAGGATCAGGTGAATCGTGGCCCTGAAAAAAAGAGAATTAAGCATATGCCATACTTACAAACACTTCTTCAGGGTGATTAATGAAAAAGTAGGTAACCCAAGCCCAGAATACAGTTAGTAGTAATTGGCCTCTTTTTTCTTCTTTCTCATCTCGCTCGAAGTACTCTCTGTACAAAAACCTGGAAAAATAGGTTAAAAACAAATGGTAAGTCCGTAATACATAGAAAATAACATGATGAATTACAAATTTGAATTCATTAGTCCGGAAATCTATGAAAACGTCAAACGATCATGAAATGGTCTATCTGGTAGGATTATTTAAATAATTAAGTCATGAAAGTGGATAAACACAGATGGCTGAAGAATATGTTCAGTATTATCATTTACCGATGACTTCAAGATCAAATGTAGAATAAAACGGGAACCTCAAGTTAGTCCAAGAGTAATAAACCGTAAATTTGGTGACTAATTTGAACGGTATAGATTAATTTATAACGGGGGTGAGGGAGTGCCGACCTTATCCTATTTCAGGATATTCAACAGATTAGTTTTATTTCATTACGGAATTCACATGCTCTTATGCCAGCTTATTGCACTAATACACCAGTAAGTCGAGGTTTTTTATTCCTATTCAATTATTGCAGTAATATACGACAACAAAGTTGTCAAATTAGTTTTCATGAATAAAAAACAACGTATTATTCTATGGGCAAGTTGTTACTAGGATATGGCTGTTGAGCTCACCAAGTTACAAGTTACTTGCTGAATTTGTTTAAAATTAGTTGCCTACAATTTCGCTAGGTAAAACTACTAATTCGAACAAAAAGAACACTATATGATAATAGGATTATTACAATTTTCGGTGACATCCCAAAGAATAAAAATGTGTACTTCAGACGTTTTTTGACTTCATGCAAGTCACTTCTTCGCAGTGAATAAATAAATAACCGAAACAAATCAAACAGTGAGTTTAAACGGTCAAAATGAAACAAAGCTAAATATTTTCAGTACAATCAAAGTCATAATTAGTTTGAACACATTAATGTCATGTTATTTTCTGTCAAAGTAATTCTGTATCAAAGTGTTATGTACATGCCACAAATTACATATTTTTCTTACTCCCCTTTATACACACTAACACTTTGAAGTCTCATAGAGGAAATAACATGACATTAATGTGTTCAAACTAATTATGACTTTGATTGTACTGAAAATATTTAGCTTTATTTGACTTTTACTGTTTAAACTCACTGTTTGATTTGTTTCGGTTATTTATTTATTTACTTTGAAGAAGTGACTTGCATGAAATCACAAAACATCTGAAATACAAATTTCTACTCATTGGGATATCACCAGAAATTATAATTATTATATGATGAACCCAATGCTTAATTTCTTTGAAACTATAAATTCCAACCTTGGTACTGATGCCTAAAGAAAACTATATCCTGAAACCGTGTGTTTATTTGTTTCTTACTCAAATACTACTCGTAAAAACAAACACGTATCACCTTGGTTTCGAGCTAAAATAGGTAAATCTGTCTGAAGAACTGTCGCTACTTTCTCGTATGATTAAATAGCGTGACTTGAGAAGCGGCCTTAATTTTCCAAGCAGCATCGCACTCTTCATAGTATAACGTCTCGGTTGTTTATGTTCTCAAAACTTGCGAAACGTGCTGTTTTTCTCCAGTCAAGTTGGAAGACCCTACAAAAATCAATAGACGAAGAAATATGATAACTTGCGCAAAATATTTTAAATCGATATAATTTAAATCACCTCCAGATAATTTTGTTTAGGATTGATATAGAATATGATCGTTATAAGTATACGATTTCAGATGAAAACTGGTTTTTACATCGACAAAGCTAAAAATGATACCATTGAAACAGATTACCAGATAGAAGCTCGTTAGGAAGGAAATATATTAGCAGCGATGATACTGCATTAATAGTCAATGGATAACGATACATTCGGGAGCAAAGCGAAAACTTCACCAATGATCTGGTTAATAAGCTTTTCTTTGTTTTTCCATCACTAAATGTTGACACTCAAAGCCGTCTTTGTGACAGAATATAAAAGATGTAAATCTAAAGGATCAAATGCAGAAAGTTACCTTTAAAAATGCTTCAACGACGTCGAATGAACAATATGCCACCAATATACTATTTTTTTAGTGAGTTCATGTTGCGGTTTAGCTCAGACTACATTTAGGCTGGTAAAGGTTGAAAATAAAGCACTCTACTTGTTACAGAACTCATATCCATCCTTTAAGCATTGGAAGTATCCTCAAGCTGCTAGAAAATTGATACAATGGGTTGAGCGCGCTACTTAAAAATGGATGGTGGTATTTTTCATCGCCGAAATGAAACCATAGATTTGGTCGTTATTAGGCATCAAAACTTTTTTACTTTAGTTGAATTAACTTCAGTTATAATGACATCAAGAGTATCGTCTTTCTCAAAATTAATTTTGCATCTGTACTTTAATGAGTACATTCGTTTCTTCCCGTTTGTAGCACTTTTGGACTTAACAGTTTACTGTCCATTTTTTTCTGGGTATCAGTTTTTGCTCGATGGGCTTTTGTACATAAGCCAATTGGAAACCTCTTTTTGATAGTATAAAAGAGGTGAATTCCAATGTCCGGGTTGTCGAAAGTGGCACGTAGTGCGATGAGTGCCAAGGGTGGTACCACGAAGTTTTCACGAAACAAACACTTGCAGCTTTTAAACTCTCTAATTAAAACGAATTAGTGTACGGCAACACAGTACAAACAAAACATTTTGAGCCGTGCGTCTCGTACGTGATTTAATTTCAGCAATACAGTTACGTCATTGTTAGTGGGACATAGATGGATTTAAAGCGTGATTACGTCACTACGCGCTGATTGGCTAATTTCCTATCCAATCAGCGCCTGATCGAAGCTTGGAGAACAGGATAGAAAATTCTCGTATTATTAGCTGCATGCTGATTGGTCAAATCCAGTTCAGTCGATCACGTGAATTTTCTTCCAGAAGTTTTCTCATGTAAAGGCTATAAATAGACTAGCATTGTATTTATCTTGGCCTTCAAGCCTTCTTAGCCTTCTTCGCTTTCAAGCCCTTTTGCCTTGGCTTTCGCCATCACCTCCAGCTTCTTTCCTTGCTATTTTGGAATACAATCCTTCCTGTTCAACCGTGTTCTGATTTGTGTTACTTGTCCAGTGTCTGGTGTCAAGAATACTAAGCAATAAGATTTAGCCGGAAAATATCGTAAGCAACCGTTACAACAGTCATTTTAAAACAAAAAATTTTTTAATAATTCAAACCATATAAACTCTGCTCTGTGAGTTAGAAGGTCTTCATTTGGAAAAATTATGACGTCTCATGATGAAAGCCGAGTTCCTTCGGAAGTCATAAGGCCGATGCCCCTTCTGACAAGCAGAACCTTTCCACGGTGTGGGCAACCGGGAAGTTACATCCGTCCTCATACTCATAAAAGCACACGAGACCAAATTAGTCAGAATCAAATCCTTCCTACACACCTCTTAATAACTCTCTTATCTCCTCGACCAACCCTTCCTTCGATAGTTTGTCACCTCGCGCCGCTGAAGCAAACGGTTTGAGCTCACGAAACATTATTCCTAGTCTCTTCAAACTCCGTACTACATTACATATTGGAGCTTTTACTGTTCGATCCTTGTGCCAAATAGGGCAACAGGCTTTGTTGGCTAGAACTCTGGGATCCCGTGCGACCAATGTATGTTGCATCTCCGAAACGAGTAAAATCATCAATTTGATTTCACCCAGTGCAGATAGAGAAACAATACTGTTTACGCTTCTCTTTTTAGGTAGCCCTGATGCTACTTCCCATGGCCTCGCTGGCATACGTATAGTATTAAGTCCTTGGGCAGAACTAGCTCTCTTAGACTGGATCCCAGTAGAGATTCGCTGTCCGAGTAAGCGGGACAGTACGGACTCGGAAAGATAGGGACACTCGCCGTTGTCTCTTCGTCGTATCTGTCTACGCTCCCACTGATTGCAGTTCAGACCCACAGGGACGGAAAAATGAAAACATGACAAAAATGCATGGAGTCACTGACAAGTGGACTCAGTCATGTTGGTAGGTGTCGTCTGGTTGGGGCCCGCGAGATGATAGTAATCGATTGTTAGAGACCGTAAATGACATGGCTCAAAATCGTCCTCAACGGCCCACGTGCATTCATTCTTTGTGTTCTCTCAAATCAGTTTTGTGATTAATTCGAATGCTTTATACGTGAATTTTTCCTGTATTTGTCTGTTTACTCGATGAAATACATTCTATATCATTTAAGCATCTAGCAAATTCTATCAAAAAAGCCTGGTAACCAGTGAGCCTAACTAGTGTGTTTGTGAAAATTTTATAGAAGAATATTTTGGAGCTATTTAAGACGAAGATCGGATCCTTTCTGAGAAGCAGCATGGCTTTAGAGCAGGTTATTCATGTCACATTAACTCATTAGTAGCCCGTGAAAGTTGGTGCGCTCCTAAAGGTCAAAAGTTGCTTACAGATGAAGCTTTCATCGACTTTAAAAGGACTTTTGACATAGTCTCTCACAGCTGGCTTTTATCTATGTTTAGAGTTATTGCGATTGGGGGAAACTTACACGAGTGGTTTGAGGATTTCTTAATCGTGTGCCAACAAATAATACGGGTTATTTCAAGTTATTCAGCTGGGAAACTGCTAAACAGGGTGTCTCAGAGTAGTTTGGAGGTCAGTGTTGTGCTTTCTGAATGCGAATGACTTTCCTAATCTTCTCTCTTTATGGGTTTCGTTATCTCCTGACGACAACAAAATATGGAGAGCGAAAAAATGGAGATAATTGTCTTCAGCTTTAAAGTCATCTGAAGGGCCTAGAACTTGTTAGTTCTCGATACACGCTTCCAAATGCATCAGGATACAAATCAGTAACCAAGGTACAGATTAATACACAGTGAACAACACTGTGCCTATTATCCAGGCACACAACTGCCGAGTCGTCATTAGCTAAGACTTGAAAACTACTGCACATAACCCTGAGACAGCCGCCAAACGTTTTAGAAAGCTACAATCAATACATACAGCCTTTAGTAATTGCAACGTGAAGACATTTTTGATTTTTTGCACAGTATTCGCTTGTCTTAAACTTGAGTATTGCATACAAGTAGCTAGTCCCTTCCCAGAAAAGACAGTGAGTTATCGAAAGATTTAAAGAACTGCATTTAAGCTAGTCACGGGATTGCAAAGCTGTCTACACTAAACCTATATCCCTTGTTATAGAAAAGGACTAGAAGTGACATAGTGGTAAGTGATAATTTTGCGTCCGATATGCCTTCGTTTTTCGTCTTTTTAAAACGAAGAATTTAAGAAGACACTGAAAAGTTCATATTCACAGGACAAATTGCACGTCATTTGACTATAGACTTTCCCATACAATCATCAACAAATGGAACTAGTTGCCCTAGATACGAGATTGAAGCTCGATATCTTAATAGATTTAAAAGAAATTCTGACCAACCAAGAGTCCACCATTTTCACAACTAGCACAGGTCACTCAACCTGTCTTTTCCATACTGAAACTGAACAGGTGAAGGAAATCCACAGCCCCTGAATCCAATACCCAATATCTTTTTCACGAGCTAATATAAACCAGTTGATTACTTTGCACTCGATTCTTGTTCTTTTGGTACGGGTCTAAGTGTTTGGTAATGTCCAATCAATGGGAGTCTAGCCACTCGACTGTCTAATTCTAGTCCGTTGCCAGTTGGTTTTGAGTTTGTATGTGCCGTGATTTCAATGAAAACGTTTGTTTCAGGTCAGTAGGATTTCTGGATACCAGCAGCTATCACATTACCAGACCGGAGACCAGTTAGTTGCAATGTGAAGAATAATGAGAAAATTCTAATGCTAATAAGAGGATTTTAAATACCATGCCAAATGAGGACGAATAAAGATTGGTTGGTTTTGGACTCTGTAAAAATGTAGTCCATAGTCGGAGAACATCTAGACGCAACTCTACCATAATATTTGTCTAATAAATGAGGAGCGATTAGCGAAGCTGGTTTTCAGGTTTGCAGTAATGGTGATGGGAAAGGTTTGGTACTGATACATACAAACTAGTAGGTGTTAATTTAATGACTTATGTTATGCAATTAATCTTAAATCAAACCCATAACTACACAAACTGTGACTGAAAACAACCGACTGTTCAAGAGCACAGATAATCACAACGTGTAAGCTTACTATATACCACTTTTATGTCATTAGTTGTTGCAGAAAACACGAATCCTAGTTGTATTAAGAGATAAGAACCAAACAAAAACGCTAATTACCCTACCGTAGCTTGTTGGATGTAGTTACCGCTCTACAGTTCCAATATCCAATCTCTTCTTCCCGAGCTAATGTGAACTCTTTCAATATCTACTTGTTAAGAAATCTTCAATTTAATAATTTCTTAGCATTCTTGTCTTGTGGGAAAGTCGACAGTAACCAGACTGGTAATTTGCTCCCGGTTTTAGAACATTATTGGAGAGCATTTTTGAATTGTTTGTTTTTGAAAGTGATGAAGAAGGAGGCTAACCAAAATTGAATTTACTTTCAAATAATGTAAAATTATTTATCAAGTCGCCTCCTTCCCTATACAATTAATCTTTGGTCCACCACAAGACAAACACTTCATTTAGAAATTCTCTCGCCCTACAGCATCTCTATGATTCTAGAGATCAACTTAGTTTCCGTCCTTTGAACCCTCCCAGAGGCTCTTTGTTGTTTTTAGGTAGTGTCTCACTGCTTGTTGATAATAGACAAGTTTAGGATCAACCAAGATTATAAAAATCTATGCATAGAACAAGGGGTTTTAAATCGTTCAGCAGCTCTCATGGTTTTAGGCGGTGGTTTTCAAACCTTGACTGACAATTTCTACTTTGTCAGTGTGTCTAGACAATGGATAGCCTAACGTTGCTTATCGTGTATGTATGATGACCAGTAGGAATCATAATGTACTGCCGGCAACTGCGAAATTTTAGACCATTCAGGTTATTTTGCAGCTGAATACAATCATCTTTATTTTTTGATGCTCTTCAGATCCTGTATATAAAAAAAGATGAAAATAGGGGACGATGACCCTCATTTACAAATAAGAAGAATGAAATCTGTCATAAGACTGTGCCCCAAACATGTTTACCAGTTGAATGTTGAGCAAACGCTTACTCATTGTTAGCGTCTGTCTACTGAATCGCTTATTCATGTAATTACAGCACCTTTACTAACAAAATCTTGTAATCTGTACAGTCTGTCTTGTTGGGGATTATGAAGTATCTCAGTGAAGTCTATAAAACTATATCCATATGTTTGACTTTTAGGAGCAGACTTATATCTCCAGTTATTATTGGCATTATTATTATCCATGCAATTAATCTTTTCTTTGTTCATTGGTGTAATATTCAATATATAACGAGCATTTTAGACATTCCTCAGATATAGTGACAAGCCTCTATTCAACAAAATATCGAAATGGTGGATAGCTATAAAAATAAACTCCGAGGTGTAGGTCATTGTATTTTCACCTGTCTCCTCCCCGTCACTTCAGGTCGTTCGTTTATTTTACGTGCATAATTTTTTCACTAATCCTAGGTTCTTGGAGGCCATAGTTGCCTAGGTTTCTGTCGTACAGTTTGGTAGCAGCAAGTCGCAAGCTATGGTGCTTTGGCCACGCGCTGCGAATGGCTTGAGTCATTCATGTTTACAGTACACAACAGCTGAAGATCAACCTGAATAATCGACGAGAGTACCTATAGACGTTCATCCTTGCTGATGTTCCCATAGCCGTACTCGGTGTCGATCCCCTACAGCTCTATGAATTGCTATTTGATTCACGTAGGCTGCAGTTAATTGATACTTCGTCGAATATTAAGTCCATGGGTTTTAACGCGCAAACATATATGTACTGAACCAACAATATATATTTTGCACCATTATTTATTGCATGTTATACTTGATAAATTCTCCAAAGTAAGTAAACCGAGGAGATTCTATCGGTGATCAATAATGTGGTAGGCCACATCGTCACCTGCAGACCCCCAGTCACAGCCAAACCTCGCCGACTAGCACTGGAGAATTTAGTTTTCGCTAAGCGTGTGTTTGACAGTCCACGTGCTATGTGTATTACTTCGTCTTTCTCACAGTCCTTATCTCTGCATTCGTTTCACACAAATTGACGGCATTAGTTGGAGATCACTTGGCGATTACAGAGCAGCAACTTCAGATATTCATTGTTTCACCTCTGAACTTGTATGCGTCTGCCTGAGGGAATTTTTTCGCAAACCGGAGCACCGATTTTATGCACGTCGGATAACGTCCAACGAGTATCTGTGTAGATGCGAACACCGCCTTCGGTGACAAGTCGCCCCTTCCATATGTTTTCATTCGAGTAGATTTGGTAAGCAAACCTTTGCAACAGCCTTACGAAGGATCTTTTCACGTGATCTCTTGTCACGAAAAGACCTTCAAAGTTAAGGGGCACAGTCAGCATTCGTCATCTCAAACCAACACCCGTCAATGACAGTGCCCTACATGATAAACCGATATTCGATCCTGGACTCGCCCAACTCACTACTAGGATCCCTATTTCTCCTTCGTTTCCCACGCCAGATATATCAGAGACCTCATTCGCACGTCCCAGTCAACTGCATGTGTCATCTGTACTAGCAAGGGATGAGACCTTGGTCTCACGTTCAGATCACACGTACGCCTACCTGTACGCTTTCGCAACTAATGTGTCCATAAACAACGGATACGATATGGGACCTTATTCTTTTAACATGTATTCTACGCATTTCTTTTTTACTTTGATATTTTAATCCTGAGCCCACGTGCACTACCGTCTGTTTGTTGGTATCGTCGACTTTAGTCAATCCTGGCGAACGCTTGCCCGATCACCCACGCTCTCGTTAAAACTCTCAGTCGATGTTCTGGTTCCGAATATATCTTGCATACGTCCTAAGTCTGTGGCGTTTTCTGGTCCGAACCCCCTCCGAACGCAGTATTCAGATTCTGGATACGAGCCACGCTGGTGTGGCAAGCCAACTCGAGCTGCAAATCTGGCACTTTCCTACTAGTACAGTTTCCCCTAGAAGACTTTCGGTGACAACTCGCTTCCTGTTTGTCAACCCTTCAACCCTACTATCGCATGTCGGCGGACCAGCCCCTCCCCTTGACGAAGTTGCTACGAATCGAAAGTTTAAACCCTTTCTAGGCAGGACTGATGTAGTAGAATGCTTCTACGAACGGAACACAACTGGTGAAGTGGAAACGTTTATTATTGTATTCAATTGTAAGAATAATTGTTTTATTATACTCCTTTTGTCTAACTGTACTGAAAACACTTACGCAGAACTTTCTGTTTTTGTTGCTGTCATCCTTCGTTACATGCTGTTCTTATGTCGCCCGCCTTGTTTAAATGTATTGTTTACCATTGATTTACTTTTATTAAAGTAACGGGCTATCAATTGGCTTTAAGTGGTGATCACAGTCAATCTCGACTCTATCACTACTAAAATACCGTGCAGACAGATGTAGGGTTGAAGCACGAATTTTTCTAATCCTGATAGTAGCATTTTATCCCAGTAGTTCCCAGTGCCCTAAATGTCAGCTAATTTCTTTCTTTTCAAAAGAGAAGTGCAAGAATTTTTAGTTGAAGCGTGTCAACGGAGCTAAAGCACTGGCGCTATTGATCTTACCGTACAGTGCAAATAATCCATTTTCTGGAACTGGCATCTATATTGTGACTATGTTCGCAATTATTGTGACTGACGTTTACCACTCGTGTTTGGAATCCGGAGTTGGTAAGAATATCTAACAAAGATAGTGTTGATAATCAGCCTTATTATTGTTATTTAGGCATTCGTAATTGATATGGTGTCAATATTATTATACTAGTTGATTAAACTAATAACTTCTCAGTAAAAGGTTTCATGTCAATGTTTTTTCGTTAGCTCTCTGGTATTTGGGGGTAATTAAGCGGGCTGTATTTCTGGATATGAATAGTACAACTTTGGAATTATTGGTGCTATACAAAGTACGCACTATGGCTTGATTTCCAAACGCATAATCCTAGAAATTCTTGAGTTTTTATCCAAACGATTCTGGTAATGACATTCAGACTATTAGGGCTCCACGTGAATTTTAATGTTTTGTTTACTTTCCACATGTTTGTTCTGATTCAAAATGACACATTTTTGTTGCCAACGAAATGGAAATCTATGGTAATGGTTACCAAGAACATTTGTTATCAGTGCTTTCAGTCATCATCCCTATTCGTCATAATCTAACTTCATATACGTAATCACCATTAGTGGCAGCAAAGTGTTATCTAAATTCTTGAGGTCGCCCAAGGGTTTGTTCCCATCTTACATGATATTGGGATTGTTGCTAATAAGTACACTGTTGCTAACATATACATAGTCCTCATCTACTCAGGCGGTATAAGGCGTCTAATCCACGTGATAACTACACTTAAAAGTGCACTGATATGCCTAATATTCTATCCCTAATATACTATGCTTTGTATATATTTATTCCATGTACGATTACTGGAAACTTATTACAATGATTTTATACCAGAAAATATGATAAACATCCGCTACTTTTGCGTGTATTTATATTTTCTCTTATTGTTGTGAACACATTTTTCGATTACCTTGGCACTGAAATTTCTGAAGAAGTTGGGGAATCCATCGATCATGCGTTAATGGTAGCAGTCATCCAATACATGTCAGAATCGCGTAATATCAGATTACATTAGCTATTAGCTGCGTGCTGGTGACCATCGTAACTCCGATATGAAATAATCAGTTGGCTTCTGCGAAATAGGTGGAAAGGTGTTGAAGTGAAAACGGTTGTTACGGTTACCCTAAGACGTGCCAAGGATTCTCAGGGTGTCCTTCAGATCAGCCATTCTCAATGGCTCGACAGACATTGAGGACAAAAGTATGGGAGTGTACTCAGATTGCCACATTGTGATCATGTTACAGACTGTCGAACGAACGAGATTAAATTGACTGTCAGCACTTTAAGTGTGACTGCTGATTAATCTAATAAACTCCCGCCTCTACGAGCAACTGTATCCATCGTCGGTGTGAGACACGCCGGCTCATAATCCTTAAAGTGACTGTTTCTCAGACTGCACTCTAGGTTATCCAAATTAACCTCAGAAATCTGTTTACATCAATCGAAACACGGCACAGAAGCTTTGAGATTAACGAAATCGCTCAGATTTTCCCTAATCAAAGAGAAGACCCAGAGAAAAGTGCATGCCAGACGTTCACGACAGAAATAGTACTTTTATTATCGAATTTGGGGTTAATACCGTAGCAGAAATTCGCATCTGTGAATCGTTTACGAAGGTTTATTTTGTAAACCATTTTCTTTGGCAGTCACACATTTTTTACTTTATAATTCACGCCTCATGAAGAGGATATCCAAAGATATGAGTCAGTTTGACAGTTATGCTGTTGAAAGTCCCTGTACAACCGACAACAGGTCTCTTTCACGTCAGAGATAATATTTCTGTCACGGGAATTTTATTCGACATCAGTATAACTCACTGACGTTATCACGACGACAAAGTATTTTTAGTTGGTCTGTAATCTTTTAGGCAGCCAATGACAATACTTTTATGATTGGCTTATGACTACTCTAACATTTTCACGAGTTTTCTTCCTGTTACGTCTTACAACTTACTTGTAAATATGAGTAAAAGGAAACATTTAGACGTAGAAATAAGTCTTGAAGTAAACTGTGCAAGCGCTATGTGTGAAAACAACTTTATTTACGTTGTTGAGCCGAAAAATAACGTTTTCACGGGAGTTCTTTCCGGACACCGAAGCAATGCTAGGGCAGATTATCAAAGTGGCTGCGCACTACATCACCAAAAATGTCAAGTCACTACAACAAGACAACCTGTGTGTAAGGGAATACGTAAGTTACCTTCGTATAGTGGATTAACCATTGGAAAATGTTTTTTCTACGCTAAATAATTTGAAGTTGCAACAACGAATCAGGAGTGCTCCAGAGGATACAAATAAATGACAGTTATCAAACCTTGCAGCCTCTCCGAGTTCTTGAGGATGATGTTTAAGCTAAAAATGCTGCTCAGCATTTCTGATTATTGATGGATTACCCTACAAGAGAGTCAGATTCCGTAATTGCTAATATCGATGATGCTCTTACCAGCAGCTTTTAGGAAGCACAGAGTACACAACATCCACTTATCTTGTTTGAACGCTTCAAAAAGTTTTAAGTTTGTTAGTATGTATTAACTTGACTTCCCTGCTTCGGTTTATCTAGAGTATCCTCTAGATCGTCATAGTGCTAAACCTAAGAAGATTCACTCAGTCACTAGCTGCCCCGAACATACTTCAATAAATGCGACT